GCAGTTGCCATAAACCCATTTATGAGCCCTTGACACTTTGCCGACTCATCGCGATCACAGAAAACCTGACCTAACCCAAGACCCAAGGCTCAAAATCCACAACTCAAGACCCATTAACTGGCGGGTGTGTAGTTCGTATGGGAAGATTCTCGGTAAATGCGTCATTTGTTTTTATTTGCTTTGCTTTGCTTTTGTTTGGCCTGCATTTTTATTTCCACACTTACCATTTTCACTGCAAATGCATACAATTTCACAGGAAAACTCTAAAGTATGAGTTTGCGCCGCGCTTTCGGGAAATTGTTTGTCTATTGTCCCACTTATCCAGTCGATGGGTCTGTCCTTTAATTTGATTTATCCTGTATGTCCAACAGGTAAAAAATACTTTCGTCGTTTCTTTTCAAATATTATTTATTCTTTTTGTAACACAAATATATTAAAAGTCGAAAACTTTTTCTTGGAATCGAGTAAAACAAACAAAAAAAAATTTCTCAAATTTGCACCAAAACATTTCATGCAAATTTTTGGTTAAGTAAATTTTTGCACTTGATTTGCTGTTTTCACATGATTTTCATTTTCGATAGACAGGCACGGTGCACGGTGATGCTCGATGCTCACCCACGGATTTGTATCTGGAATCTTGGTTCCATATATGTGTACCTCTCGACAATAGTATCTCGTTAACCAAGCGATCGAAGCCCAAGACCAAAACAAACTGCACATGCGCGCAGGCGCCCACAAACTGAGTCGCGCGCATGGAAAATGCGGCAGGTAAAGCGGCAAACGGCAAACGGCAAACAGCAAACGGCAACAACGACAACAACGACAGCAACAACGTCGCACCGTGAGACAACAACGACATCAGCAGCAACATGAAAGAGAGAGCGAGATGGAAACGGAGAGCCGAATTGTGGTTGTCTCCAGCAAGCAGTACGTGAGCGCTCGCGGGCGGTTTCTGCTCAAAGGCAGCATGCAAAATATTGCAAATATCTGTGACAACAGCACCGCTAAAACTGAAACTGAAACTGAGACTGAGACTGAGACTGAAACTGAGATCGAGACTGTGACTGTGACTGTGTCTGAAACTCAAACTGCAGCAATGGCAGTGGCAGTGGAAGTGGAAGTGGAAGTGCCATCCGATATGCTGCGCATCCACTGATCTAATTGAGGCAATTAAGAACTACAGCAACCGAAAAAGGTTGTTATTAATGCGCCTTTTAAATTTGCTAACTATAGCTCTATATATGTGATAGATATAGACTTTAACAATTTGTGTATGTGTTTGTGTGTTGGGGCGGAGTAGGCGTGAACGGGAGTATTTGTTTTACCTTTCTCTGGAGGGAGTATTAGAATTTACCTAACAATTTTGATAGTTATATCTGTAATATTTTTTTAATGGTATTACGAGTAATATATCTTCCAAAATCAGTGACTATATACTGTAAAATATATATCAATCTTTAAAGATGGACACGACCAGGCGACTATCCTCCAAGTTGTAGTTTTATCGATTTACAATTATCGTTGTTATCGATTTGCCAATTTTGATACTTTGTGTTAGGCGAATATATTTTCAAATATATGTATGTATATACGATAATTGCACAAAACTTATATACTCTTTTTTTTATTGGAATCGGATAAGTTAAATGAAGTCACAATTAAAATGAATTATTAATTTAAAAATAAAAACAATTTAATGTTTCAATATATGTAGGTATAAAGTTTAGCAGTGGCGACTTTGGCCGGATGGAGATCCTGGTAAATAAATGAATCTTTCGAGCGATAGTTTCCATAGAAACTATATGATAACATAGTTTATTGGTAAATTTTGACAGAAAAAAATGACTACCATGAAAAGTGTTATAAAATACAAATCAATTTAAACATAATTATAATGTTAAGGAATGCTGATCAGCATGAAATTCGGTTGATGCAATTTTTCCAAGGTACAATGTGTCTTGACAATATTACCTTTGTGCTTATAGTTCTGTGCATATTGAGATCCAAATTGAACTGAACTTCTCCGACCTCAAAAACTTAACGGGCCAAGTTTCTTACTTTTTATACCCTGAACCCATTAAAAATTGGTAAAAGGGTATACTGGTTGTGTGCAAATGTATGTAACAGTCAGAAGGAAGCATCTCCGACCCCATAAAGTATATAAATATTCCTGATCAGGGTCAACAGCCGAGTTGATATAGCCATGTCCGTCTATACGTCCGTCCGTCTGTATGAACACGCAGATCTCAGAGGCTATAGGAGCAAGAGAATTAAAATTTGGAATATAGGTTCTCGTATACCAAGCGCAGATCAAGTTTGCTTTATTTAATCGATAACTGCCCCCGTTTCTTGATTATCTAAACATTTAATTTTCCGATTGCAATAAATGCTAAAATTTTAAAGGCAGATTCTTCTAATTAATACATATTATGTATATGCAAAATATCGATCAACTGCCCAAATTTCATCAAGATTGGATAAAAAAGACACAAGTTAGATCATACTGATCTAATTTCTATCAGCAGCCGCAAGCATTCTCTGTATGCATCAATATGCGAGCGCACGTGTGAGAAAAAGATGACATGATAATCGACGCGAGCGTCAATATGTCTTTGTGTGTATTCTGCAGACCCCCGTTACTGTATATATTTGTATTTATGTATTTATGTATGTATTTATATGTGCACATGTTTGTTGCCAGCCAGCTAGGATCAGTTGGGGCTTGTGAATAAAAACATGCGCTGCTCGTTTTTTTTTACTCTTCAGTGCCCGAAACCTGCTCACATTTGGGTGCAAAACTTATTGTAGAATATATTTAACAGCTGGGTTCAGGGTAAATCGTAGTCGAGCTCACTCGACTACAGCACTCTTACTTGTTTCCTTTTCTTTTTTGTAGAAACAAACAACTGTGGAATTGTTGTCGATTCCATTTTCGAGTCAGGTCGCATAATTGTACAACATTTAAATGCTGATCTGGGCTAGCATTTTTTTAAATATTTTTTTTCTTTCTTCAATTATTTAATGTTTCGGCACAGCAACAACAACGACAAGATGAAAACAACGTGTAAATGCGCCAATTACATAACAAGTGCGAGTCTGAGCAACGCTAAAAAAATAAATACAATTGTATCTGACCATTTATCTTAGCAGGGGGGAGTTCGGCAATGGGCCCTGTTTGTGTGCCCAAATAATAATAATAAAAAATAAATAAAAAAAAGTTCGCACGAAATGTTTGTGATTTGTTTACTGTTTGACTAGTTGACTTGTTTGCTGGGTCAGCTATGCAACACCTGCCCTGAAGAAAGTGAGGAACAAAACCCCATCACTGTCAGATACAAAAGTATCTAGCTATGTGTGTGTGTGTGTGTGTGGATGCAGGCTGAAGATGTACACACATAGATAGGCAGTTGCTTAATGGCCAAAGTTACATTTCACTCGTAGTATATGACTGTTTAGGGCCAAATGGCACGTTTCATTTTCGGCGCAGCTCTAACGCTTATCACAACATCAGCTGGCAAGGAGAGGCGGGCGGGCGACACAGAGAGAGAGGGAGAGCGAGAGAGACAGCGAGAGATAGAGAGTGAGAGAGAGACAGAGGGAGGGAATAGTGTATGCCTACGTGCCTGGACTACGTCCAATGCCGGAATGATTTTGCATTTGAGTGCCGGCCTGCCTGCCTGCCTGCCTGCCTACCTGTCTGGCATTTGGGGGATTGGAGCTGCGGCCTGCTTTAATTGTCGCCAGCGCTGAAATAATTTTAACGAGTTACGCGCATGCGCAATTGTCCAACCAAGCGACGGTTCCCGCTTCGTCTTCGTTTGACGCAACACCTCCTCCCCACCACTTCCATCAACCCACCCGTTTGCCCATTGCCTTATGCAATCGAGGCGGCGCACTGTCGACTTTCACTCATTTGAGAATTCATTGAGTTGTAGCCGCCGTGCGATATAATTGCATATTTATCGCGCTCATTACAGATTTCTAGACATTCCATATCCATAAGCACACACACACACACACACACTTCTTCTCATCAATCATATTAATAACTATTATCTCATTATAATTACAATCACACAATTACTTGCTCTTATTCAATATGCGGAAGATTGCATTTAATGTGTGTATTTGAATACGATGTTCTATCAATTATCAAATATGACACATTATTTTAAGAGACTGTTACTTTCTAAGACAGCAGCACCTCGCAACACCCTTCTTAAAATGATTAAAATGACTTGCACATTGGGCAAATTTGTAATCTTTATATAAGTCCTGACGTATGATAAGATTACATTGTTTCGGGGAAATTCTTAATAGCACAATTGTCTTTAATATTTGACAATTAAGTTTATCTTAAAAAAAAAAAGTCAAGATACATATCTATTTACTAAGAAAAAGTATTGTTGATAATGTTAAGCTACTGAATGCAGTAACAATTAATCAACAATCAGTCCAATACACAAATATTGTTAATGAACTAAATCTGTACTTAGTGTGATTTGTTTTGAATCATTTGGCATTGATTGCAATTCGGTACCATGCTGGCTTTTGCTCAAAAGCCTCAAGTATTCAATAAAATGAGTGTTGAAACCAACTGACAATAACGCAGAGATACTCTTCATCAATCACACCGATAAGAACAGGATTACAATGAGCAGTTCTGAGTTTACCACATGGCCTACAAATGGATCTACTCTGGACTGACTCGCAGCGTGTCGTAGTGTACACGGGAAGTGGCAAAGGACTTCTTTAATTAAGCACTCAAATATTGGCATATTTGTTTGAGCTTGAGTGCCACTGATAAGATATTGATAGACAGACCATAAAGCAGAAAATAAATTGAATCGTAAGCTTATCGATGTCAATATTTATAATTAAAAACGAACCGAATTGATTTCAGGAACCATTTAAGATAGACTTATCAACCAATTAACATCAATTAAACTACAATTTATTCAGACAAAAAAAATGGAAACAATATATAGACCATAAGGATAGACAATCAAAAAAATATTTATATCTTGATATAGTTATGCACTGCTTAAAGCTACACAGTGAAAACAGAAGTTTATTTTCTTCTTCTATCTAAATCTTCTCTCTTATTCTCACTGTAACATTGAAAATGTTTGTGGCTCAAGGATTGTTGCAATCAAAGCCGAGCACGCAAAATCTTTGCCTTGGATCGAACTGCATACCCTCGGGACAATCTAGGGTTTGATCCATTAGTTCTCCATCGTCTGTCTCATAGCACAATACGTATTGGGAGCAGTTGCCAGTTTTGGGCAGAAAGCCTGTGGTGGCGCAAATAGCTCGCGCTGTGGTGCTCGTAGCGGGAGTGGTCCCAATGGGCAGATTGGTGGTTCCGGTTACATCTGTGTTACTCGGTTCGGAAGCGGTCTCGCCGGTTCCGGGCTCGTCAGTTGGATTTCCGGTGGTTTCGGGCTCGTCAGTGGTATTTCCGGTAGGTTCGGGCGCACCTGTAGGCTCGCCGGTTGTAGGCGTTTCAGTGGGATTTCCAGTAGGTTCGGGCGCACCTGTAGGCTCGCCGGTTGTAGGCGCTTCAGTGGGCTTTACGGTAGGTTCCGGCGCACCTGTGGGCTCACCGGTTGTAGGCGCTTCAGTGGGATTTCCAGTAGGTTCCGGCGCACCTGTAGGCTCGCCGGTTGTAGGCGCTTCAGTGGGCTTTACGGTAGGTTCCGGCGCACCTGTAGGCTCGCCGGTTGTAGGCGCTTCAGTGGGCTTTACGGTAGGTTCCGGCGCACCTGTGGGCTCACCGGTTGTAGGCGCTTCAGTGGGATTTCCAGTAGGTTCCGGCGCACCTGTAGGCTCGCCGGTTGTAGGCGCTTCAGTGGGCTTTACGGTAGGTTCCGGCGCACCTGTAGGCTCGCCGGTTGTAGGCGCTTCAGTGGGATTTCCAGTAGGTTCGGGCGCACCTGTAGGCTCGCCGGTTGTAGGCGCTTCAGTGGGCTTTACGGTAGGTTCCGGCGCACCTGTAGGCTCACCGGTTGTGGGCGCTTCAGTGGGCTTTACGGTAGGTTCCGGCGCACCTGTAGGCTCACCGGTTGTGGGCGGTTCAGTGGATACGGTAGTCTCTGCAGGCTTTGTTGGTGTCGGTGCCTCCGTGGTTGTGCTTTCATCCAAATTGTCTGGTGGTATGGTAGGATTCTCAATGTCACCGCCGTCCGCTGGGATAGCATCATTCCAGTGAACACATTTGGCAAGGTCCTTGTTAAACACCATATTGTCCTGGCATGTCAAGAGTCTCAAGTCATACCCACCATTTGGACTTGGATCGCAGATGAAGTATTCCTGCTCATTATCCTCGAGCGCAATGAAGCCAGTTTGGCTGCACGGATGACTGGATTCGGCATGGGCAGCACCGATCAGCAAGAGGCAAATTGCGCCAAGTCCCAAAGTGTTCAACATTTTCGGGGGCTTAATATATATATATATATGTATAGGATTGGTTCCTTGCTTGATGTATCGCTTGTGACTCGTTACTCGTTTCGACAGACTAACTGGGTATGCACTTGGTTCGGTTCTTTTATAGTCGACCACAAACAACATTTTGACAATCGTTAAGATTATGCCCGATTAGCTGATAAGCGAGGTGCTTCAGCTACTGGTGGCCATCAGCATATGGTATAAGTACTATTTATTAAAGAACTCTTGTCTTTATTCATGCAAAATGGAAGGGGGGAGGGTGGGGACAAAAACAAATATTTAAGAATCATAACTAAAATTGAGACTAGGCGTTAATACACCAACATAGATTTTTGGTCTGCAATTAGAGTGGTTTAGTTTTCAAGACTGGGCTGCTCAGCGCTCTCCAAGGATATGGCCTGCTCTTTGGCTTCCTTGGCTTCCTTTTTGGCCTGCTCCTTCGCCGCCTTCCTGGCTAGTTTCTCCTCCAATTTCTGTTGCTTGAGCGCGGTTTTCTCTGCAAGTTTTGCGGCCTTCAGGCGCTGCTTCTCCTCCACCTTGAACACCTTCTGTTCAATCTGAATGGCCGCCAAATCGAGGGCCTCCAGCGCCTGTACCGCATATTCATGCAACCAGTCATATCGCCAGCAGCGTCTCAGGAACGGTTGATAACGTTCTCCTTCCGAGCAGCGCACAATGTACTTATGGAAGCCACCCCGCAGACTGAGCACGCAATTATAGTAGTACATATCATTGGTGCCAGGAAAACGCCCGGCGCTCTCGCAAACAAATTCATCGTTCGTACAATCGGAAATATCCCGCACACAGCGACCGTATTTAGGTGAAAATGCCAACCAAGGTAGACAGCTCATCTCTAAGTTCACCAGTTCATTGGTTAGCGGATCTGTCACACACGTGTGATAGCGCCGACAATCGCCGTTAATGTCCGGAAAAGTTCCAGAGGTTCTACACTTGAATATGGGTGAAGGTGTTGGTGCAATCGGGGTCAGGGTCGACCCCTGGATGAGGCTTGGAACAGTAGTCAGCTCCACACTGGGGGTTGAAGTTGATAACTGTGGAATGAGGCTGCCAGAACCTTCCTGTTCCTGGCCGCCGGAACCGGCTGTGGATGGATCCTCAATGGGTTGTGCAGTGGTCTCCGGATCTACTTCTGGCACGTTGGGAGGGAGCGTGGTCTCTATGCCGCCATCTTCTATGTTTATTTCTGTTGTTGTATCAACTACATCAATGGTCGGCTCTGTTAGTTCCTCGACAATGGTTGTACTCTCGGGCAGATCTGTGGTGATATTTGGTATTTCCACGTCACTGCCACTGCCACTGCCACTGCCTTCGACAACAGTTGTTACCTCGTTCAAAATAGTTGTTTGGGCCAGAATGCTGCAGGACATGCTCATCAGCTGAAATTTTTGGTTGTGGTACGGTTAGTTTATCCACAACATTGGCATGCAGCTTTGCTGCATTGAGAACTCACCAGCACCGCACAAAATAATAACACCGAACTGCCAGTCATCGTGGCTGTTGTTGTTCTGGTTGTTGTGGTCGTCATCGTGTTGCCAGTGGCTAACTTCGGTCGATCGTTGTATGAACTACTGGCGTTACCCACACCCTATTATATAGCAGATTTCCAGACAGCGGATGCTGCGGCTTATCAACGACCCTAGCACCTAAATTATGAAGCTGGCCCTATCTTAGATTATACATATATATATAGCGCAAATAAAAAATAAAATAAACGTTTGGCTTAGCGTCACAAAAAAACAGTTGTAAAGCATTAAAATCAGCAATGCAAATGCGCACCTGCCACGCCCAATGGTCGCCGCCATGTCCGCGGATGTGAAACGGAAGTGTGTATAGATATGGATATAGATATAAATATAGACATAGATATAGACATAGATATAGACATAGACATATATATATATATATACATATATATATATATATACACAGACGTGTTGTTGTAAATATCGGATGAGGCCTCCTGGGTGGCCAGAGCGGGGGTTTTTTTTGTCGCCTATCTGCATTATTTATAAGTACATTGTGCCACATACCTGCTCTTATATCAGAGATATCAAACACAAAGTCTGAATCACTAAGATTACATAATTTATTCGGTTTTTTTTCAATGTTATTATAAAACAAGAGAGAATGTTGTAATCGGATGTAACCGACTGCGAAATACTTGTGTACCATAAGTTATTCCAGCGGATAACAAGTAGCAAAGAACATGGTGGGTGTAGCCAAAAAATAGAAACCTTCCTTCGAAGTTTGGTAACTGTAGCTCTTAAATTACGGGATATATCGACTTCTGGGAATTTTGGAGGCGGTAATGGACGTGGCCAAGACAAAATGTTGGAGTACGATCTTAGTAATCTACCTTCCAAGTTTGGTAACTATCCTCTTAAATTGCGGGCGATATAGGCATTTATCGTTTTTGAAGGCGGTCCAACATGTTTTGCCGGATTTTTGAAGGGTGTTACTAGCCATATACCTTTCCAATTTGGCGACTCTAGCTTTCAAACTGAGTGAGATATGTGGTGTGGTGTCATACAAATTTGTTATCGGTTCTGAAAGGCGGCTACCAGTAATTTACCTACCAAATTTAAAGGCTCTTACTCAAAAACTGAGGAAGATATAGTCATTTAATATTATTAGGGGCGGCGTAGATGCACGTGGCATATGCTAATCTTTGAAGGACATCGCCAACAATCTACCAACGAAAATTTGGTGATTATGGGCTTCAAATTGTGGGAGATATGTGGCTTTATCGATTTGCGATTATCGATTTCCTAGCCTCCTAGTGGACGTACACTTTGTCTGACGCAGAAACAGACCAATATGTGTTCCAAGTTTCAAGTCTCAATCTCTGAGGGTGTCGAAAAAAGTTGCGTTCCTACAGACGGACAGACAGCATAACGGACATAGCACAACCCCAATATACAATGACACCTTCGGTATCAAAGTATTAAAAGTTGTATCCTTTCCTCGAATATCACTGCTGATTAAAGTATTAGTGTACGAAACTCTTGACTCTTTACACAAAGAGCTGGAAGATTTTCCAAAAAGCTATATTAGAATTGCTATTTATAATAGTCAGTAATAAAGAAGTAAACGATATTCCTTAATGATTGATTTTGTATAAGATAAGTAAGAGATCTGTGATGAATCTGAATTTAATTCAGATCTATTGAAATATTCGAAATGCTAATTATTTAATCAGCATGTAATTATGACATTCAGTTTTCAATATTAATGTCAAGAAAATTACATTGCAGCTAAACGTTAAGATTTGGACACTGTTTTGTGAGTGAGCTTACTGAAATATCACAATTTAATTACACAATCTGTGGCAAGTAAGTGCACTCAAAATATACAATATATGTATATACATACGACTTACATATATACATTTGCGTGAAGATGACGATGTTCCTATGCTGCGCCTTATCAGATTGTGGTGATATCTGATGATCAGCTGCAGTGTGTAGTGGTCATAAACATAATCCTCTCCAGGAAGGCAAACGGCGTCAGCGAAGACAAACTCTTTAACATATGTATGCATACATACAAACATACATATATATACATATATATATATATATATATATATATATACATATATATATATACATATTATGTATCTGACGTTAATCTCTGACACACACATATATATATATATATATATATACACGGATAGATACACCCACACACACACAGGCACATACGGATAGATACACTTTGTGCAGTCTGTGCATGTTTGTATGTAGATATCTTCAATGTGATAAGCGCGATTATTATCACAGTTTTTTTGCCATTATCTAAACGGGTTTTCGGTTTGGTAAAATGATGAATGCTAACGAGCAGACGACGCGCCTCACACAGCACCACAGTACACACAGTACATACACAAATTCCACACGAAAAGCAAATCAGATTCCAAGTCGGATCATCCCCACTGGAAGGAATAAGAAGAGGAAGAAGAAGAGGAGGGAGCCGCAAAAGCAGGAAGCCTACTACTATTATTATTATCATCACTGTGATTGGCAAGGAGCAAATAATGGCAACAACAATCGCTTCTGCTGCTGCTGTTGGTGGCACTCCCGTTCGTCGCGCCGGTGCACGCGCCACAGCCGGTGTCCAACGACGTCGGGTGGTCAAGAAGCACATACAACAGAAGTATATGCTCTGCGGCTTTGCCATACACGTAAATAGTCAATTCTCTTTCTCTCTCTCTCTCTCTCTCTCTCTCTCTCTCCCTGTCTCTCTGTCTCCCACACACACTCTCACTGAAGCAAGCGCTCTCTTTAGTGTACTTAGTCTCTCTCTTTTTCTCTCCTTCTCTCTCTCTCTCTCTGTCTCTGTGTGTCCGCTCTTAGGCCTTTCTGGCAACGCCGGCATACTTGTATGGCAACGTGGTCGAATCGGACAAGGATCTAGTGCTGCGCATTTGGCCAGCGATCGTCTATCAGGCAACTGGCGAGCTATGCCGCTCCATTTTGGAGCATCTGAACACAGAGTACAGCGGACGATCGTGCGAGACGAATCAATATAGACGAATGTTTCTGCTGGCCACGCTGATTGCATGTCTATCGCTGATGATCAGCGGCATATTCTTCTCATCCGCCTGGGTGGTTGTCACCACCACCACTCAAACCGTTGCGATTGTCTTCTACGGCTGCTTTGCTGGTGAGTTGCCCATCACATTTTCATTATGATTGCAATTGGAAGTGTGTCTATGTGTGTTTGCGTGTGTGTATGTGTGTGCGTGTGCGTGTATGTGTGCGTGTGCGTGTGTGTGTGCGTGTGTGTGTGCGTGTGTGTGTGCGTGTGTGTGTGCGTGTGTGTGTCGTTTAAGGTATTGGCTCCAGCCTGTATCTGTGGAAGACGCACGTCATACTGGAGGCAGTGCGTCCGCGCGAGGACAAGTATGTGCGCAAAACAATACATCTGTGTGGTGAGGCCTTCTGCCAGCTATTCCTCTCATTCGTCTTCACCAGCCTGCGGACATTGTATGGGACCGCACAGTCGATAGTCCTGATGTCGGCGATGCTGGTAAACCTGATACCATTGAGCCTTATCATTACCAAGCGTCGCGAGGATGCCTTCACCACCAAGCGCATATCGGTGATCAAGGCGGAGACCGGTTTCGGTGCGCTGCCATTGCGTGGTGCACTGGCGGCCAACTTTGTAGCCGATCAACTGGATGGACTCGATACGATGGCGATTTCATGGCGTAATCCGACAACAGAGATAACGGGCACTACTCAATCCGGCTCATCGGGGCCAGTGGCAGCTGTGGCCGCCGCTGTCCTCGATACGCACAGCAATTATATGCTGGCCACGGATGAAGCATATGTCACCTACATGAATCCCAATGGCGTTGAGATAATGGAGATCATACCCGAAGAAGATGAAACAGTCTCCATAATGCGTTCCAGCAATGCCACCATCGATAATTACAACATTACACAGTCACAAGTGCTCCACAAGTCACATTCAAATGGTCGACTCTATCCGCAGAATCCAATAAATCCCCCCGGTACCGGCAGCTCATCACCCCTGCCCGAAGCGTACGCGAATCTGGTAAGTGCGACGCGGCTCTATTCATCTGACCTATTGATTGATTGACTAACTCACTGATTGATTAAGAGACTGACTGACTGACCGACTGATTGATTGATGATCAGAGAACAGCCCTATTCCGAATTAGTAAAATGCGTTTTTCACTGCAACTACCGGAACAATCGGTCGCAAGGAAAGATAATAGGTCAAAACTTTATCTAAACTGATCTGATTTTCAAAAAGCAGAGCTTATTGGTGTGGACAAACTATGTCCTATCTATTACTATTTCATTAAAATTTTGAAACACGAATTTTGATTGAAATTCGTTGCTTGTAAAAATTCTAACCCAAACAAGAAGGCAGTACTCGAGAGTGCCCAACTTGGAGATATCTCAATCCTAATATGAATACCCACATTCATGGTAATTTGGTATTAAAATTTATTTCAGAAAATCAAAGCCGGACCTTTGGGATTCGTATTCAAAAACTTAAGTATTTTTGATTGGTGTCCATAGCATATATAAGATCACTTTCCGAATTTATGATATTTTTGTATTTACAGGGTACATTTTTCTGTATACATAAAATACAATTTTCTTATTTTCATATTAGATGTGGCAGCAAAAATTAACAAATTCCTTTCACTTAGCAGTTTTTCCACATGCAATAATATTCAAAACCAAGAAGACTAAAGTAAAAAAAATCATCTTTCTTTGCATCACTTTCGCTTTGCCTGCCAAAGTCAAGGATCACTCTCTCGTGCTCTTTCAGCAGATGGGGATTTTCGTCCGTTACGTTGGCGGGCAACAGCAACAACAAGATAGGCAACCATTTTTTGTATGTGCTTTGCGCTGCTTCTTTTTGCCCTGCTTGCTAGCCGTTATGTTACATTTATCTTGGCTCATTGGTTGTCTCATTACATTATTGGACCTTACATGATTATGACTAATGTGATTATCTGAAATGTCTCTAATATTCTCTCTTGCATCGCAGCATCGCATCCGCCGCATGTCCCGGGCGGTGACATCGCATTTGTGGTGGAATCTACTGGATAAGATCGCGATGCCATTGCAGCAGGCGCTGTTGGTGCCGCAGCTATATGCGAGCACGCTCCTGCTCTCCGCGGACATCTTCAGCTATGTTATGTGCCTGACTGTGCTGCCCGGATTGGCGGTTAGCCATCATGCGTTGAAAAATGCTGAAATACCATTCCTCTTCTCGCTGCTGGCCTTTCCATGGATGTGCTTCTCGCTGATGACACCGCGCTTCGGTTCGAGCCTGTACAAGCGTAAGCTACAGTGGTACACATTGGGCAGCATCTGCAAGTGTATGGCGCTGATTTGTAAGCATTTCTCATCTCTCAACTCAAATTGAAATAATCCAAACTTACCTGAAATCAAAAATATCCATCAGTTATTAGTTTCTCCACGTCGAAGTTACTGTTGAGCGTTTCAGCTGTGCTATTGGGCTTTGGCCAGGTAGTCACCGCCTTTCTGCAGGAGATGGTCTTCCAGTTGGGCATGACGCGGGCCAATTGGACGGCGATACGACGGCCCGTCCACTTCACAAATGGCCTGCTGATACTCATTTGGGGAGCCCTCGCCCATTGGGTCGTTGTGCACTACTCGTTTCAGGCAACTGTTGGTTTGGCGGGCGCCTTGTACGGCGCCACAACATTACTGTGGAATTTTTTGTTTTTCTGTTGCCAGAGCAATGATTAGCAGATTAACAAGCATGTCTTTTTTTAAGTGGTGAAATAAAGAATTTATAAACTCTGTAGCATAGGCGCTGCGAATGTAATCTTTACCAAGATTTCATTTTCATAAGCATAAAACCGCACTTTTGTTTTCGATTCTCCAAGACAATAGGTGTTAATTATCGGACAGTCGTGAATCGATAGGCAAAAACTAAACTGTTCACTGCCTCATTAATGTCTGGTAAAATTCAGTCATTTTTTTAATAGGGTAAACAAAATAAGACATATAAAATGAAATTGAATTTTTTTTTCAATTTGATAAAATTTCATTATTTAAAAGTGCTGTCGAAATACATTTAGTATATTTGCATGGTATTTTTATGGTATTATCGAGAATATATCGATATGGTCGCTTTGTGTCGATATATCAGAATGTCGCCAGCACGCTACGTTCTCGCGATCTAATTTTCAATTGCAAATAATTTATTGTTTCAAATTGTTTTCACATTAAACACAAACGAGAAGACAACTGGTAAGTTGGGACGTGCTTACTATTGCAGACATGAGAATCATCATTTAGTGTATTCGCTGGCAATGGCAGCGACAATTTCAAAGAGTGGTGTCAAGAGAGCGTCTGCCGGCATTAAATTCTGTCTAGTTGCTAATTTTTTGTTTGTGTAAATGTAATTAATTGTGCTCGGCTTTGCATGTATATTCGTGGCAACAAGCGCTGAACTGCTTCATATTACTGTCCGCTGCTTGTCGTGGTCGGTTTTCCTCAAATGCGTCTGGCGCGCAAAATTTACAATCAAGTACCGCAGCAGCCACAATCAAGTGGCGGCCATGCGAATTGACAATTAACAAGTTGAATTCTTGCTAATTTTGTTTTTGTTTAATGTTGTTTGTTTTTGTTATTGTTATTGTTGTTGTAGTTGCAGTTTAGCACGTATTGCACACTGTAAGGACAGTGTGCGTGAAACATAGACAACATATTGCCCAACAATCGAGCAACTGTGGCGGACAGCGGAACTATTTGGAGTCTAGAGCAGGCGTTGTCAATCAATGGCTTCGATTGGAATGCGGCCCTTATGACAATTGAATCTGGCTCTGGCTCTGGCGCTGGCCCTCATTTACCCATAGGCGAGCCAAACTCATCATTTGAAGCTAATACGCTAACGCACGAATCATACCAGTTTCCAGCTGATGCGCTGCATCAGCAGCAGCCGAACGATTTTCCCATTTATTATCAGCCAGCAGGCACGGAACAACAACTGGAACAACAGAACGTTCCCTTCATAGCGACAACAGCAGAGGAAGTACCAGCCGAGCAGGCAGCGTCAGTGGATCCGCTGGATAAGCGCTTAGCAGTCATACAGCGTACCGTGGATTTCATTGACGAGATCTTCCGCAATCGTCAGAAGGACAATCTGTGGAGCGCTCTAGTGCTACAGCGAAAACTCGTCGAGGTGCGCAATTACTTCCAAAGTGAAAAACAATTGAATACATCTGAAACAGCACACTCGGATTCGACTGCATTGCTCAAGAGCATCGATCAGCGACTTGCCGGCTTAGTGCCCAACATCGATAGTGTAAACCGATTTATTGACGTCAATCACGATCCGATGGGCTTTGATCTATTTAACAAGTTACGTCATTGGTTTCTGGGCGGCCAGAGCAACGCCAAGGATCCAGCCAACATTGATGGTGAGAGAGGGGAAATCGCCGCCAAACTCAAGCGCAGGTATACAAAATGTGAATATGTTTATTGTCTATAGGCACTTTTAAATTCAGATCCGCTGTGACCAAAATCTAAATGCTAATCTATCTATCTGGTATCGTCAAAGAGTAAACATATATAAGAGTAAATATACTCAAATTTGATTACTTGAACGTGTTGACACCTCATTCGAATTGTATTACATATGTACGTTTTGTTGTAAATAATAGAACTACCACTTTCCCATGCATCTTTCAGCTATCAAACTTTGAACAAGGAGACCACATCGCCATGTATATTCAAATATCGTCGTGTGGATGATACATTTCCAGAATTTATGCCGAATGACGGTGAGTATAGAGAGTGCATAGAGAGCTAATCAGAGACTCAAAAAAACAACACTAGTCAAACACATAATGTCCAATTTAAAACAATGATACTACAATCGAACTAAATGGCGAAGCATGGCATAGAACGGAAGACCAAATATTAATGGGGGGGAAAGAGAAAGAAATGTAAACATGCTGTGTTCGAATAAGGAAAGAGACAAGGCAACATAAAAATGAATGAAAGAGATCGAATAGGATAAGTACATAAATATATCATAATTCATAATGGAATCAAATTATTTTCATAGCTGATGACTACGGCCACATGGCGAATCCAAGGCAGCATCAGGAGAATAACAGCAATCAGACACAGAAGCGTCTCTCAATATTCAGTGCACCGCAGTCGCGACATATGCGAGTGCGCAACACCCAAATTCCCGTTAGTATCGATCTGCCCGACACTGAGGAGCAGCATCACAATGAAAGCAAAATGTATCAAGCATTTGCCGATCGTCTCGGCGAGAACACCGTGTCACCGTCGCGTAATGATTTTGGATGCGGTACGTCAGCGGCAAGACCGAATCTCTTGTATTCGGATGCAGTGCGTTTCGGCACAAATGGCTTTAAAGCCGATCTGAATTATCCACGACCCTCCAGCAGCTCCTCGTCATCGGATGCACGTTTAAACGGGCATGCCGGCAACATGTACGCTAAGGGCATCATACGGAACAGTGTGATAAGGCTAGAGGAGCAGCGCCACGAACACAACCAGTACATTAATCTTATCAACAATCTGTTCCTGCACGATCGTGAGCGTTCACTAACGCGCCGCCCCATAACGTCTCGTGACAGTGAGAAGCCACAGCCATTGGCATCACTGCAGCGGATCAGTCCACATGACGACGAATGGCGGCGGGATCTCAAACAAGGCAAGCTACAGCCCCATGCGTCCATCACCTCCGAGCGTGCCCAGTATGCCAAGTTACTGGAGCGGGAGGAGCAAAAACAGAAATTATACCCATTGATTAAGAAACCGCTGACGCATGAATTTGTGCAATGCGCCCACATCACCGACCAAACCATTCCAAGTGATGTCTCCAAGTCGATGGGTAAGGATTTTGACCAGAATGGGCTGCGCGAAACCAGGTAATGTTTACCACAAAGGAATAAAGATAAGCTAGTCAAAGGTAAAATCAAGTACATCCTATTTTTACAGCACACAGATGATGCTGCCAAATTTGTCCCGGACTAAAGCTGTCCAGCAACGCCATAGCAATTCCATCTATTTTGCCGACAACTATGCGGAACTTTTCAAGGAGAAATGCGATCTTGTGAACCAGGAAACGAACCATGCAAAGAAACTAGTCCTTCAGGAGTAAGTAGTAGATAGTTGAAATTTAGTGTGCCTGACTAATTAATTACTAACTATGCGACAGAGCTAACAAGGTAACTGAGGAGCGTCGTGCTAGTGAGCAGGAACTGCGCGAATCATTAACCAAACGTCGCTTCCTAACGCAAACATTGTTTGTGTTGGAGAAGCAGCCGGAGTATGGGGCAGAGGATAACATGCCGGAAATAATACCACTCACCGATGATCATCAAAAGCAGTATAATGAGCTGATCTATGGCAAGCCGGATAAGGTGAATAATTCACTGCCTTGTTTCTTTATTAATGGCATATGCATATATGTACATATTAACTGTATGTCAATGTCTCTTCGCTAGGTGCTCATCTCGAAATTTAGCCTAAGCATTAAACGCGAGGACATTCGTACACTGACTGGCAGCTGTTGGCTGAACGATGAGGTTATTAATTTCTATATGAATTTACTAACCGATCGTTCGCAGCGGAAGGATACACTGCCCAGTGTTTATGCCATGAACACATTCTTTGTGCCGCGCCTGCTGCAGGGCTATAGTAATGTGAGACGCTGGACTCGCAAGGTTGACATATTCAGCAAAGATATTATTCCGGTTCCGGTGCATGTGAGCAACGTCCATTGGTGCATGGCCATTATACATATGAAGAACAAGACAATTCACTTTTATGATTCAATGGGCAAGCCAAATTGGGAGGTGTTGAACGCCCTCGAGAGATATTTGCAGGAGGAGTCGCTGGACAAACGCAAGAAACCCTTCGACACCAGCGACTTTCTAATTGAAAATGTCAAAGATGTGCCACATCAGACGAATGGCAGCGACTGCGGCGTATTCAGCTGTATGACCGCCGAATACATAACACGCAACAAGCCGCTAACCTTTTCGCAGGAGAACATGGAGTACTTCCGAAAAAAGATGGTGCTGGAAATTTGTGGCGGCGAGCTCTGGATGTAGAGATCTGATGTTCAATGCGTCAAATTTATAAGTTAATAATAATAACATAAGAACAAGAGCATTATCATAGTTTAACGTAAGTGCTTAAAATTCTCTTGAACATTTTATTTATTGATATTAAGTGCAAACCCTTATATAATGATCTTAAACTCTTCCCTCATCCTCAAATACAACACAACACACAACGATACACCCACACAATACACACGCAATTCACACCCAAAACAAGTCTGGCATTCATTGTTAGTTGTTTAAGAAGACAGATCTTTCAGAGTAAACGCTTTTCATCTAAGAGATTGAGATATATAGAATTGTAGTCGTAAGCCGTCAGCTGAGACATGCGTATCAGGAGACACACCAACTAAAAACTAGCAACAAACTATTACTATTGTATCGCATAAGAGCAAAAATAACCCATATAATAAATAAACTATTCGGTAATTTTAAAATACTTTTTCTTATATATTAAATATCAGCGAATAACTTCTTTAATAAGTTATCATGCACTTGTAAAGGATAACATAATTATGTCGTGAGCAGACATTCGCGACCCCATATATACATTCTTGATCATCATCACTACTAGCGTTGATATAGCCATTACCCTCTGTCCATCAATTTCTATGCAACCCGATGCAAGTTTGAATGTAACCGTATTTGTGCATATCATATGTATATATAGTTGCCATAGGAAAAATCAGTCGTTTTTTAAATTTTGCAGTGCAATTTAGATGACAGCTGGTTGACTCTGGTCTATGAGGGCACAAGTGTATACAATCTTAGCCGTGTTCATTCTTGACTTCATTCTTGTTAATTTGGTAGAATTTTTCATGAATTTTGAATGAAACTCGGTGCTTCCAAATTGAAATGCAGCAGTATTCATCTAGATGCTAACCCATAACCAAAAATGCAATGAGTCAAGGCTTTGGAAAGTTGAGCTCATTCTTAAATGTTATTTTTTTGCGTAGTCCGAAGACAGGAGAGCAAACAGCTCAACGTATCTTTCTCTCTCTCTCTCTCTCTCTCTCTCTCTCTCTCTCTCTATCTATCTCTCTCTTTTTCTCTCATGTATAATGTACTAGGCAAGTACATGTTCATCATGCACAGACACCATAATATTGTAATTGAATTGAGAAAATTATAATTTAATGTTTTTTTTTTGCTTTTCTGAAATGGCATAGAAACGAATAACGAAATCTGATGAATTTGCCTTCATAAGCATACATCTAGCTAAATCATATTTATTTTCAACTATTTTTACAGGATTGTGTAAATTCATAGAAAAAAAATTAAATAAAAAAAAAATACCTTAGTCGCTACCATAGTATCGCTAATGTAATTCACACTTACATATACATAAAATGTAATCCAAGAACTGTTTGTAATGCGTCTCTTTTCTTTTCTTTTCGTTTCATTCATTTTTGTTTTTCGTTATTTTCAAATAGTATTACGGTATTATGAAAAAGGTTTTTGAATTTGAGATAGCTTAAGGGATAATTTGTATATGTGTATATACAGAACCGATGCTGGAGCTGTGCCACTAATCAGAACGCATAGATATAGTTCGAAATACACTAAGAACAAAGCATCACTTTTCTAAACGTTAATTTGTATTATTTGACTTTCTTATAACAAGCACGGGGAACTGGAATTCTCATAGTAAATTAAGTAAGGAGTTACGGTTTAATTGAAAATTAAATATATATATATATACATATATATATATATATATTTCTCTATATATGTGGTATTCTACACATCTATTTATATCATCTCGGTGGCGAGTTGTTCTCTGGCAAAATAATAGTAAGAAAATGAGGAAGTTATGAAAATATCTGTACATACATTTGAGGTATATAACGTGACCATCAACAGGTGTACGGTAATCTTAATGAACCGACATAAATATGCTATTGCTGTTGTTCTTGTTATTGTTGCCGTTGCCGTTACTATTCTCTCGAATGTGAATCTGGTTGTCACGCATAGTCTAACTAATATGAATCCAACTAGTACAAACGAACAATGTGTGTTCGATTTTAGGAAGTTTGTTTGTCTGATATACTAAATACTATATTTTTCAGATCTCTTTCGATATTTATATACACTTATGGGTGTGTGTCACAAATCGAAGTAAGCCCCTGCATCAAGAGATTTATTTATTTTCAATTTGTTGTTTGTTTTGTGCCAAACGAACGATATCAAAAAAGCATCATTTACTCTATCGTATATACATATATATACATACATATATGTGTGTGTTAGTATGTGTATGTGTGTGTGTGTGTGTGTACTGTGTTAATTGGACTGCCTAAAAGGATCATCGTCAGGATAGCATCCATAGGAATTCTCCCAAGCACTGGCAATACATTCATACTAGTGTTTATCTGATCTAGCTGCTAGTTATATACTTGTGTTCAGAATCAACCTGAGATTAGCATAAGCGCCAGTGGTTTAAATAATACTTCAATATGTATGTACATGTACATGGCCAAACAGTGTCCGAGTGTTATTGTTTTCATTATACAAGTATACAAGTACTCGAATATGTTTAACAGCCTAAAGCATACCATTTCTTTAATATTCATAATATATTTGTTGTATTTGTTATTTTATTTTTTATTAGTTCATGCCGGCGACTATATCGGAAATCTAACATTTAATTATGTATACATATGTATTTACACAGAAAAACAAGTCCAACTCTCTGGCAAATTCAGTTTATGTGGAGGAATTCTTACCAAAATCGAATCAGATATACATATATTTGAAAAAAAATAATAATAATACAAAAATTGTTACAAAAACAAAAATCGTTTTCAGCCCGAAAGGTTTTGGAAAGGGGCGCGGCGGCGTTGCAATTGTTAATTGGTTTTTGCACTTTCGCGAATGTTGATTAGTGCCTGATTTTCCAATTTGCATGATAAAAATATAATTTATACTTCGATTTCTTTTTCTTTTATGATATATTGACAAAATGCTTATTTTTTTCGTTTTCTTTTTTTTTTTTGTAAATGCCGACAGTATATCCGTTGCAATAATTTAGTATTTTCTGTAGTCTGACATTTTATGATAAATACATATATGTATATGTAGAAGTGTTTGAGTGTGTTTGCGTGTCTGTGTGTGTGTGTGTATATGTATTTATATATATACATAAATATGTAGAGAGATATCACCCGCCACTGAGTTAAGTATTTCAAATTATCACGTTTCATTGAGTAGTTGCAACTCGAATGAGTAAACGCATCATTATTTATAGTTTCATTATTGGTGAATCATCTAACTTTAATAAATGGGAAATATGTACCAATATACGTAATATGTATTTACATATGTTTGTATGTTTTAGTGGTAACGTTTGCTGAGAATGACATAATGGATTTCTTCAAGTTATAAAATAATTCGATCTTAGTGTTTTAGGAGAAACTTATCATTGAAGCACAAAAATAAGATTTGCAGACAGATTAATGTCATTTTAATCTAACCATATACTTAAATATTATGTTCTTAAAATAAAACTTATAAAAGGTTTCTTTGTGATTTTCTCCTTCAGTAATTCATGGAAATTTGATTACTTATTATTATAAAAAAAAAAATTAATATTATACTCATATATTTATATATATATGTTGTTTGTTTTTTTCTTTTTCAATCAATATATACTTGTGGTATACACATATATATATATATATATATATATATATATATATATAGATAGATAACACACATTAGTTAACCTGATAATAGATTAACTAACGATATTATGATTCCTTGTTCGTGATGACCAACGATAGTGTATAAATAGTGAAGAGTATTTTACTGCTAGACCTATTGATTCTCGTCATCATCACCGTCGCCATCATCGTCGTCATGTTGCTCATCCAGCTGCTGGTGCTGCTGTTGGGCAGCTGCAGCAAGTAACGCGGCTTTCTGTACTGCTTGTGCCTGCGCCTGGATCGACGCTTGCATCGAGGGTGCTGACATGGCAATTTTCCCGCTTGTCTTGTATTCGGTCATTTCCTACAAAACACGCAAGAAACAAGCAACACATTTATAAATGCGATTTATTAAATACATTTCTCTTATACACAGGGTGTATATTGTTGGACGGTGGACTCACCCGCTCATATCGTGCCTTATCCCTTTCAGCCATCGATTCGTACTTCTGCTTGACTTCGGGATCAACGTCAGACCATTTGCGGCCAAGCTCTTTGGCAATATCACCAACACCGAATTCCGGATTAAGAGCCTTCACCTTATTTCTTTCATCATTGCAGAACCAGAAAAACGCAGACCTAATTAACAAGCAAACAAATCAACAAAACAAACATTAATCATCATTTGCTATTTACATTCAAGTGCGCACAAAGCAATATACGCTTTTTGTTTTTGCATTGTTTTGTTTACTTTATTTGTAAATGTTAGTATGATAAATTTTGCTACGAACTCACAATGAACGTTTTGGCGCATTTGGATCCTTGATTTGTTTCCTTTTCTTTCCGCGTCCCACAACTGTGCCCTTGGGCGGCACATAGTTTTGCATTTCCTGCTCGTACCGTTGCTTGTCTTTTTCAGCCATTTCATGGAAGCGCTTCTTCTCCTTGTCGACCATTGTCTGAACACATGCAACACACAAAGAAGGAAGAATATTTTTGTTAGACTCGATTCTTACTGTTGTGGTACAACGCGATAAATACAAATCAATTAATTAGTTAATTAAGTAATCACCTTCCATCGCTCAGCGCATTTGCGTGAGAATTCAGCGAATATGACCGTCTCGTCGGGATGCTTCTTTTTGTGCTCCTCTCTGCAAGTCTGTACAAAGTATGCGTATGCGGTCATTCGACCTCGGGGTTTCGCGTCAGCTTTGCCTCCTCTGACCATGGGGCTCTAATAATAAGAAACACGGACACAAAACAAAGTGAAACAACAAATTAACATACAGCAATATTATTTGAGATAAGTATTAATATATTTGGAAATTGTACTCACTGCCGAATTGACGACATTCTGTTGCTGTTGCTGTTGTTGCATCTGTTGTTGTTGCTGTTGTTGCTGCTGTTGTTGTTGTTGCTGCTGTTGTTGTTGCTGCTGCTGCTGCTGCTGTTGCTGCTGCAACTGTGCAGCTGTGTTGGCATCCACCTGCCCCTGATTGGCGGCCGAGTACCACCATTGGGAGCCGGGCACCGCAGCAGCGGCAGCTGCCTGTGCCATATTTAGACGGTAATCGTAGCCGGTGGTGCCCGCATTTGAAGTGGCAACAACCTGTGCCATTGTCGTGGCTGGATTGGGGAAACTACTGGCCATTTTATATGTGAATAGCTGTTGGCCAACGCCGGCTGTGGTGTTGGAGCTATTCTGATGCGCTTGCTGTTGATTCTGCTGGACAACCACTTGATGTTGCTGCAACTGTTGCTGTTGTACGGCAGCCGCTTGTTGTTGTTGCTGCGCAGCCAGTTGCTGCTGATAGTGTTGAATTGTTTGCTAATCAATAGTTTGTTGTTGTGGTTGTTGTTGTTATGAATAGGTGTGTGTGTCTCTTTTTTATATGTGGGGGTGTGAAATGAATGTGCGTATGTGTATATGTGTGCATGTGTGTGTGGATGTGGATGTGCAAAAGTAAGTGCAACTGCGAGGCCAATACGAAAACTACCGATAGTTGCAACGCAAAATCTATCGCGCTGGCGTCGCACACGCAATCAATTGCAAACTTACAAATATAAACAAATATTAACATTCATTGAAATTGGGACAGTTGGGCAATTACATACACACATACATACGAACATACATCAGGAAGTTAAATTAGCAAATCTTTGAGCTCATAAGATCAATTCGCATTTGAATGACGAGTTGACGATATTTTGAAAAGCAAAAACCCGAAGTCTACTACGCATATACATCCAAACTCACATACATACACATGTATATATGTATATAGTAACAAAACTCTTCAAAGAGTAGTCGCAATTAAAATATGACACAAAACCCAAAAACATCGCAGCAACAAGAAATTGCATTTTGAACCAGTGAACAAATCGTAAAAGATCTTTGCAAAGTTACGATTGGCGTTTGCCGTTTGGCGCCAAAAACGATCATCGCTGGCTGGCTGGTTAGCTTGCTGGCTGGTTGGCTGGCTTGCTGGCTGGGGCGGCTGGCTGATGACGCTAGCTAGCGGCTGTCACGCTCAGGCAAACACATGCACGCACACATGCATACACACACAAAGAGTCGCACGCACGCATGCATGCATACACACACAAACATGCGCGCACGCACGCACACACTAGCATGTTTATGTAAGTATACAGTGAAAACGCGCATGAGCATGAGAGCAGCTCGCTCCAAGTGGTTGGAGCAAACATCTGTGATGCCTGTTCCAATTCTCAATCATTCCATTCACGTTCCATTCACTTTTGTACGTACGCCGCCGCCGCCTCTTATTAGCAATTAATGCGTAGAAAATGTAAACAAGCTGTTGTATGTATTGGGGGGGAGCGTGTACATAATATTTGTGTGTGCATACAGACACAGATACGACGTACGTATGAGCACGAAAATATAAACAACAACAAATTGCAAATGTTTTGTCAAAGCAATCAGCTGTTTGCGATTTCCTTTGTTACCGCCGAACGACGCAGCAACTGAGAGTGGGGTTTATAAATAAGTCACGTTTTGAATAACGAACAGGTTCATATGGTTCATGAACCAATTTATCGACTCTTTTATTCTCTCCTTACCAGGGATGTCTTAGCAACACATGCAAAAAACGGCTGCTATACACATGTATGGATGTGTATGTATGAATGTATGCGCCTGGCTTCGTGAGAAAATAAGAAAAAGCTCTTTACGATGTAAATACGTATGTACGTACTCACTGAGGAACATATACACACAAATCAAAAAAAAAAAATTGTGTTGAGTTCACAATGAGAGGGAGACAGAAAACGAGAGAGAACTAACAAAATATTTCAAGTTTCTACACAAACAGCACACTCAGAAATGTATGTATGTATGAGTGTACATATATGCAGACTAGTTATAGTTGTCTTCTCATCGCAAGAGACAAAATATACAATACAAAGAAAATAATTCACATGGGGCACATTACGCATACATACATCCATTTATACATACATACATATTTATATGTACATATAGCTAATTTCAGATTACGCAAGCTCCGATGTTGCGTATGTATGCGAATTCATACATATGTATTTCAAGTTTTTTTCATAGCATTAGTAAATTTGTATGTATATATCACACACATGCACATCGAATTGTTTGTGTTTGCTCAACATTTATAAAATCAAGGCACATGTCATTTCCAATTTTATAATGTTGAACTATATGTACATACGTATATATATATATGTAAAATGAGCTATGCAATTTCAGCAGGGTTCTAAATTAGCAATATACACATACATCTACATATGTATATATATATATATATAAGTAAATATCGAACAAGTAACAAAATAAAATAAAAAATGGCGACCATAGATGCGCACGCAAAATAAAAATTTTGCTCTTAGTATATACACACATATACTTGTACATACGTATAGCGTCGTATATATATTCTATATCTATATATAATGCATATATATATAATATATATATATTTATTTATTGTGCGTACGCTTGTATTCAGTTTCTTCTGAAATGTATGTACATATGCAAGTTTAGATGTACACATGTATGTTTGTATGTACGCAAAGAATACTTGGCAAAATGCACACATACACTTTACAATTGTATGTATGTGTGGACATATGCTCTCACACACACAACACACATGTGTGTGCATTGAGATTTCAACTCAACTCGGCCATTGTAAAATTTCCATACTCTCTCATGCGTCTCCCATTATGCATACATATATACATACATACATACAACGACGTACATCTTTATGTACCTCGATAGATGTATGTATGCTTATGTGTATGTACATATGTATATATGAAAATTAAAGTTGCGAGTGTTTGGCAATTTTATTTGTTGTTGGCGGGAAAAAATCTTTAACTAGACGAGAAGTGAGCGAAATACAGAACAGTTTGTGCAAATATAAATACATACATACATATTTATGTGTGTGTGCGAGTGTATGTATGTGTATGTGTATATACGTATGTGCTTGTATGTATGTATGCATGTTTGGATGTGTGCAGTTAAGCTTACCTGTATTTGATGAAAGTGTTCCATAGTTTGGATTTAAATCTGAGGAGGGGGTTCGATCAGATGTGTTTTTTTCTATTTTGTTGTTTTAATAGTTTTCTAGGTATTCGTAGTTATGTTCTATGCTGCTGCTTTTTCTTTTCTTTCTTCTTCTTGCACTGCACACAACACAAATACAATTGTTAAAATACGTAAGTTGAAAGCCAGTTCCAACTTGCATTCGTTTTATTCTAGGTATGTATGTACGTTATATTGATTATTATATTACATACATGTACGTAATGTATGTACATACACACACACAATATGTACGTATGTATGTGTATATGTATGTATGGTGAACAAGCGGAGCCGTCAGACGCCACAAAATGTTAACGATTCTTACGGCGAATCGGCGTAATAGCGAACGGAAAACGGTAAACGTAACGTAACGCGAGTTTGAGCTTCTTAATGTTGCTGTTGTTGTTTTTGTTGTCGTTGCTTGTTTGTTTTTAGTTAGTAAAAAATAAACAAACGACGCCACAAAACGCAGCTTTATTGCAGTAAATGTGTTTTTGTTGGTATCACAATGCGGAAAAGATGAGGTTCGCGCGCCGCTCGCTTGATTGAAAACACACACAGAGAGAGTACCAACAACGAATGCAAAGGCTATTGAATTGAATAGCCGTCTCTGCCTTACTGTGCTTCATAGCCCAGCCTGGCTAGCGCCAGACTTTTGTATGCGTTGAGTGCGCAAGTGTGTGCGTGCTGTGTGTGTCTGTGTGTGTGGAGAATGAGAGCTAGCACACACAGAGAGCGAGAGAGCGGGCGAGACCAAGACCGAGAGAGAGAGAGAGCGGGCTCGAGGTAAGCACAGTCAGGCAGCAAGGCAACCAGGCAGCTAGCGGCGTGCTCTGAGTACAGTTTACTGAGCACACTTTCTCTCCTGCTGCCCAATGAGTTTGCTCGAGAGTGTCTGTGTGTGCATGTGTTGTGTGTGTGTGTATACACGTGGTGGAGGGAAACAGACCTTATAACATTTTTGGCTTGTTACTTTTCATACTAAGATTCATGAAAACATATGTATGTACATTGTGTATGTACGTATAGATATATGTGCATGTATATGTATGTCCATACAACGTATGTATGCACATATATACAATGAGAATGTACATACAAACAATCGAACCAGTTTTAATGTATTTACATCGAGTATTCTATAACTATTTAAAATTTTTCAATGCAGCATATAAACTTAAGTTAAGACGCACATTCAAACCAGCTAAATAGGTGTGTTTGTATGTGCGCGTTCGTATGTACATACATACGTCATTATGTACGTGTATGTGCATACACATTCGCACACATTTACCTATGCCTGTACGTTCAAATGTACATTCAAGCATATTGTATGTGTACCACTCGAACAATACATTCACATTTGTTTGAATGTGTGCGTTTGTTTTTCGCCTTTACACAAACACAAAAATGCATGTATTTTATTTGATATACACACACATACAGTGGTATTCTTGCTACATACACATGTTTCATTTTGCGTTCCTCGTCTGACTGTACTTCCCAACTCTCTCGGTTTATAAAGAGAGCAACATTGTTGGAATAATGCAGCAGTGTGTGAACGTGTTAGTGAGGTCAGAAATACCCAACACACAAATTTTCTTCGATTTTATTTTATCACAAGGGTGTTTTAAAGCATACATACATACTTAAAAAAATACATATTTTTATATGGGCTCAATATTGAACTAAACAACAAATGTATATCCTGTAAATAATATTTCTTACATTTATAATGCATAAAATTATGTTTGTCGCACGTACTTTTCCTACAAATGAAAAGGTACGTAGCATATTTATATAAGTTTATGTCTGTGTCGCATTATAAAAATAAGTCATGTGAATGCACACATGCATAAAAGTTATTTATTTATTTATTTTTTTAAGTTGACGACTAAACTTATTCGATTAGCGCGCATGCGAGTAGAAAAGTTGTAAACCAACCCGGTCTCCAATTCGAGGGATGGCAACTGACTTAACAATATAATATTCATGACTCAATGAACACTAAAATCGAGTTCGTAACATTGCTGTATATACATTTTTATGTACTTTTTAATAAATATGTAAACATAATAAATAGCAGCCCCATAAAAAATTGTTACAAATTATAGTTGGTTGAAAAATCATTGTTACAATTTGAAATAGCAATCAAAAGTAGAAATTTACATATTTTCGATTTTGACATCGCTCTGTTGGCATATGTTTCAACCAGCCCTGTTTCATTGCATCGTTCCGCGTTGTGGCTGTCATCTGTGCGTCTGTATATAATTGTGTCTGTTTATGTGCATGTATGTGTGAGTGTGCTAATATGATTTGTCGGCATTAGATCCGATCCGATTTGTTGTTTAATTGCAGTTGAACTTGTGGAAAACTATTGAGATGGCAAACAAATCGCAGGTGCCGCTGTCGGCTGAAGATTTAGACTGGATACAGTTGCGCCAGGATCTGGGACCAGTTGTCGAAATCGAGACGACCAAAGAGAGACTTGTGCGTAAAATCAAGGAGAACCCATTGGTGCCAATTGGTAAGTAATGTAAAATCAAATACCTCACTTTCGTTATGTAAACACTAATTTTGTTATATTATTTTTGATTTTTGCATCTGCGTACAGGGTGCCTGGCCACAACCGCTGCCCTATCAGCTGGTCTATACAATTTTCGCACCGGCAACCGTAAAATGTCACAACTTATGATGCGGACTCGCATTGCGGCGCAAGGATTCACGGTTGTTGCATTGATCGTGGGCGTCGCAATGACATATGGTGATAAAAAATAATTCAATAACTGCAAGCAAACATCGCTTCTCACTCACCGTACTCTGTATGTACTGTTTAGCATTAATTAAACGATTATAAACCCAGAATTGATGCATATGCATATTGTTCTCTATCTTTTGTGCATCCCATGCACAAAACATGTTATTAAGCTTTTAAGATTACCTGTTTTCATCTAAATATGTGGTCAAAGAAAGACCCGGTGATAATTGTAATAAATGTGTCTAAAATGACTTAAATTTCACACTTGGATTTATTCTCCAAGCATTGCATAACGTTGATGAATCGCTTTTTTCTCTTTTAATTTGTTTGTTTCTTTTTTGGTTTTACTTTAGTAATTAGCCATGCGAATCCGCTAAAGATTTCGCCAAAGTTGAGTGTTCTCTAATTAATTACCCAAAGCGCGTCAGTCATGCATTAATGCATTAATATGATCCAATTGTACAATTAAATATCTTTTTTAAACACTATTCGAAGGGGTTAATGTTTTTGTGTAGCTTATTACTTCGAAGTAAACGAATGATTAATGCCGACTATTGTGTAATGGACTCTGGCCTAAACGATCATATCCTAAATGGGTATGGTATGGTATGGCATACCCTGTGAACTTAATAAATTTGTAATACTCTTTGCTTTAATTATATAAGTAACATATTTACATGTGTCGATATATATATTGTAGTAATATTTAAGAGCTACTCTTTTGTTGTACATTTTACCAGAAGGAAATTGTTTAAAAATATTGAAATGTGAGCTGTATCATGTTATGTGTATGTGTATTGGCTGGGTGTGGCCAAACTTACAGGGGTAACTAGTCACCCCCACATTGGATATGGATATATGGATATGGCTGGGGATAGGGATGGGGATGTGACATGGAGATGCGCGCGCATATTACTCTTGGAGTTGTTTGTGCGATATGGCAATTGTTTCAACTACTCAGTTCAAGGCAGAATTTCGTCGGTACAGGACGTTATTGAATTAAGGTTTGACAATGTTTTCTAGAGTAGTAATTGCTTAGGCAGGAGCAAAATGCATAAATAACTTCAATAACAATCAAATAGGGAATCAAATACTACACGCAAATATATATCGAAACAAAGTGTTGAATGTTGTACTTGGCCACATTTCTTGTTGCAATCGCGTAAATTGCTGCTGGTGGTATTTGGCTCGACAAAAGGGTATGCAATATTTACATATATATATATATATATGTGTACATATATAGATATATATACGTATGTATGTAGGAAAACAAAACATGTTCGGAGTCGACTCTCGAAGCGCAACTAAATCATCTGAATGTGCTATAGTATTTTGTTAAATAAATAATTCAAATCAACACTAAATGTTTGTTATTGATATATAGTATGGCTGTATGGATGTGTAAGTATGTGCACACACACGCACACACACACATGCACACACATACATTGGTATTTGCGTAGCAACTTTTGAGGTATTCTAATATGGATGTATTTAATAGACAAACATTTAAGAACACTTGAAAGTTAACTTAAATCGTCTTAAATTGTATTTTAGGACACGCAAAATGAACATATTAATTGGAAATTGTGTGGGCAGTTGTGACCAGTTGGCTGGTCCGCCACCAGATTTCATATTATCGATGCCGCCGCCGCCACTGCCATCGTTCTTGATATCCAAGCCGAAGAGCATCGATATAATGCTGCCGTCAAACGAGTCCCAGCCCTGCTTTGCGGCCTTCATGTGTGGCCAGAACAGTCAGCACAATGATAGCGGCAATGAGCTGATGGAGCTCGTCCGCAGCGACACAAAGAGTTTGGAGAACGTTTGGTTTTTCGTCTCATCGTGCATCGGCATATTTGTGCTGGGCTGTTTCCTGGCCCTGATTGTCATCCGGTGCAGAGAGTAAGTTCTGTCCAAAATTTCCAATCTTTCAGTTACATTTTTTGCCTTGGTTTCAAACACACACACAAATTACCAATTACCTTTAGAAACGAATAATTTGAACAATATTTATTTCCATCTATTTTTTATATATATATATATATATGTGTGTGTGTGTGTGTGTGTTTTTGCAAATCAATAATGAATGTGAATAAATATGTTAGTTTTGTGTTATTATTCAGTATCTGAAATGAGAGCACTTTCTAATGTGAAAACTGACGATGAAGAATAGCATAAATCGAGCAGCTTGATTCAGGGTATATCGTGGCGAGATCACTCGATTACCGCATTCTGATTTGTTTTATATTGTTGGTGGACGTTTTTGTTGTTATGTTAATCTGTTTATTGATAAGTTTTCGAATACACTTCTTCGCACACTTAGCACTTTTTTCTCGTACCACGATGCGAACATCAAACAGACGGCAATCAATGCTTTGGGAGAGGCAACAAAGTCGAATGCATTCACATCGGGTGGAATACTGTATCCGTGTGCGACGGCAAACAGTCGAGATCTGTTGCAGAGTCAGCTGGTGAATGACAGCCGCTTGCTTTGGGCCACGTTAACACCACACGGCACCAGGCACTTCATCATTGAGAACTCCCAGGATGGCCACTACGAATCGGTTGATTATCGCAGCAAGGCGCACAATCAAGTGTTCCGTGGCTATGCCAAGCAGTCGCAATCTTTTGTCAAGGTGATTCTTCCGATTTATAATGTGCTATAACAATTGTCGATCTTTTTGTGAGCTTTGTGATCTTTTTGTGCACTTTTCTAGTCCTTTGATAATAATGGCTTTGTGGATTATGATTATGAGGATCCAACACCGTTGATGGACTCTTATCATGATGATATGGACTCGGGCTATCAGGAGCCGCATGAAGTCACCGGCTCCCTCAAGCGCTCCCCAATGCGTGGCAGAACAGGATCAGTGTCAGTGTCAGGATTAGGATCGGGAGCAGGAGGAGGAGGAGGAGGAGGAGGTGCTGGTTGTGGTGGTGGTCTTGGTGGTGGAGGGGGAGTCGGAGGAGCACTTGCATCGTCGCCGACAATAACAAATAATGATAGTATATCGAATATGGCATCGGTCAATTACAATGGGAATGCGGGGGGAGCAAGCATTAGCACAAATCCACAAGCCCAACTCCCCAACTCGCTCTCCATCAGCCGCAAGACGACGCTATCCCGGCGCATTAGTGACGCCTCCTCGCACAACGGTACATCGATGTAATGTTAAATCCTAGCGATACATACATTTATACATACACACATACACAGATACATAGATACATTCGGTATTAGCTTCGCCTAGTGTTACGCGCAATCACGTTTTTTTGTAAATTGAGCACGGATTGATTGAGTTGATTGAGAAAACCGGAAAATCTCTGTTCAAGTGAAAGCAGCAGCCAGCCAGTCAGCCAGCCAGCCAGCCAAGTCTTCAAATCAAACGCCTCTCGTCCACAAAATAAACTAATCATACAATGTATTTGCATATATATAAATATACATATATATCTATATACATACATCTATATGAATATGTATGTATTTTGTATATGTATATGTAAATGTATGTCATCCTAGTGTAAGCGACACACACACACACACATGCAAACATTTGGAGCACTGCATGCTGAATAAGTGTAGAAGTGTAAATACTACTACACATGCAAACGTTAAGAATACACTCAGAAAAACCAGAAAACACAAACAACAAATGGTGAATCCTGCACTTGAACAAAACGGACTATCGAAATTCACATTGATTCAAGGATCTTTCTAACAAATTCGTTTCGATTTTGGAGATTGGAGAAGTATGAATCAGAAATGATTCCAAATGTGTAGTTGAATTTGGAGCGGGGCTTTTCTCTGAGTGTACATACCTACCTACAACTAAACAATAAATACTAAAAACAATGTTTAGGTTACATTTCGCCAGCTGCAAATGCAAATGAATCAATATTGTATACTAACTATCCTATCATATGAATTTAAGGACATAAACAAACAATTCTGCCACTAAAACTATTAAATGCATAAGTGAACACATAATAATTGTTATATTTTCTACTTGTTTATCAATTTTATTTTACAATGCGATTTTAACAACTTACATATATATAAATAGATATATACATATATATATATATATATATATATATATATATATATATATATATATATATATATATATATATATATATTTATATAAATATATTATTTATTGTTTTCTTTTTATTATGTTAAACATGTCCCATTAATATTAAATAATTATAACGAACATCATATATAAATTAAAAAAAAATATATCTTTTGTTTTTCTCTTTGTTGTTGTTGTTGTTAGCAACTTAATATACTTTTGATCCAATCGTGCAGATGCACCTCGATGACATTCACTTGGTTGTAGTTCTTCAGATGGAATTGGTTAAAGGCCGTCGTTAGATGCATTACGGCTGAGACGAAGTCGCTCAGGCGGAGAGTGCCGTCTTTTCGTATATATCGCTGGATCAGACAGTTCATGATATCCGTGCTCAGCTGGAAGCCGATGTCGTACAGTGCATCACGTAATCTCTCGGCACGTAGAATGCCCGCTTTCTCTTTAGTGTACATTTTGAAGACACCTTGCCACGATTTCAGATTCACCATAAAAGTTTTGAACTGCTGGAACGTGATGCGACCGTTGCCGGTTTTGTCTTGGAGTGCGATCACCTGTCTGCATATGTCGATGTTGGCGCATCCCTTGATGTAGTCATTGGGCAGGCATGCCTCCAGCAGCTCGTGCAGCTCAAAGCAATTGATCGTCTTGTTCTCATCGGCCAGTTGCATGTAGACCGGCTCGTATTGACAGACGCTCTTGATCTTCTGCACATTGTCGTCACTCTTTAGCGATGGGAAGGGATCAAGCAGTATCATTGTCTGTGTCTCCAGGCAGGACAGTCGGAACACCGATGTGCCCAGTATGCGAACTGTAAACTGTGCCTCCTCAGCCGGCTCGTATGTGGTCGGCATCAGAACGTAATGGCCCGTCTCCAGTTGGGTATGGTAGCTAACGTGCCGGGTGTTCCCATAGTCCGAATTGAGGAAGCTCACCTGGTTCTTGAAGAAGTCCTTCTGCAGGCACTCGTTAAGGCTATATTCCCGATTCCACATGTACATGGTGAAGCCGATTACTTTCGGCTCGACAGCCGTGTGTTGATTCAGGGCAATGACGATGTCCTGTTTCTCCTGTACGGTGACCATTAGCTGGGGGTTTATGTGAAAGGATTCGTGGTTACGGCAACCGCCGGCCGTCACACCCCGTTTCCACTGGCCCTGGTACATTTTCATCTTCCAATGCAGTGGTCGTCCCTTCAGCATTTGCTCCCCATTCGCCGTATCCGAGTCGAGATAAACGATCTCCAGCATTGAAAACGATTGCACAAAATCATAGAACGAGATCCAAAATTCCCCCAGCTCCAATTGGGCCAATAGTCGTCCACGTTCGGACGATGAGACACGCTCCCACGTCTTGGACGTGGGTGACCAGTCCCCAATGAAATTCGTCTTATCTCCGAAGGGTTTCGATGAAAATGTGTCCTTAATGCGAACCAGTTGCACCGAATCGCCCATAACGGTCTCCACTTTATCCAAACACGACAGCCTACGAAAGTAAGGAAAGTTATAACGTGTTAATACTAAGTACATTGAGTGGAGAGAGTGGAGGAGAGGGTGAGCTTGAGAGACATACCTGTAATTGGCATTCACGAGAATACCATTTGGCAGCCTTTCCGTCGTATTCTTCTTCTGTACGGCGGCATTCTTGACCGCTATACACGTGACAATGCATGTGGTGGCCAGGTGATCCTTTAGGGTTTGTGGCCTAATGCTGTCTGATATTATGGGCATACACTTGACAACGCCGCCGAGCAGATCGGTTAGACCATCGGATCGTGTACCATATTTGAGAGCCTCATACGAGCCGTGCAACTTGGCAATTGCCTTCTCCAGGAGCGACGCCCAAAAGCAATTGGATGACTGCGGCTGCATGAACGCCAATCGTCCATTGATTGTTGGCAGACGATCGTCGACGAGGACCTCGACCCATTCACCGCACCACCACAATCGAAAGCGATAGATGCCCAACGATTTGTCCAGGCCCTGATCGGCGGGCACAACGCGATAAAATAGATTTCGCAATGAGTATAGAACGCCCAAGCAAGATACTAGCCAACGATCACCCATTTTTCCCGGGATCACATCGAACTCGGCGTTCTCATTTAAAAACGATGCCTGCGCATTGTTTAACTCGGCTATTCGCTTCCATTGGAATGTGAATGGGGGCGTTTGATAATAAAATACAGACGATTGTATGGCTGGGAAGTCAGCGTCTTCCCACAGTAGATTCTTGGATCTGCAATCACTGATAATGCGCTCATATTTTGATGCCATATTCAATTTATATTCGTTTAATATTGTCCATATGTAATATTGGTTTACATCACTCCGATCGATCGATTGGCAATTGCTTTCTGTTTTTTGTTGGTCTCTCGAACTTTTAGTTTGTTGAAGTGAAAGTTAATTTGTTGCTGTTGCTGTGGCTGTTGCTGCTGGTTGGTAAGTCACTGCCACCTAGTCTAAGCCATTTCTTTCTTTTAGTGTGACCAGCTCGCCGAAAGGAAAAACCAGCAAAACCAAGCCAACTTTAATCGCCCAAAAGCCACGATTGTACTAGGCATGCCCTATTTGACTCTTGACTAATTGATTGATATACGACTTGTGGGGCAGGCTGGGAAATCTTTTCGATAAAAAAAAAAACACAATGTGCATTTCTCATCCATTCACATGTAAAACAAATAATCAACTCTATTTTTATTCATCTTTAAAATATAGCAGATGTAATTCCTGGATGGCATTTCAAGTAATAGTAGATCATCAGCAGAATACCTGTCATATATAAGACATTGATCAATACGGATATCTGCAATGGTATCCAAATTATACAAACGACAAGATTTTGCAAAAAACAAAACGATAAGTAAATGGAATACTTGTACTTTGTGGGTGCATCGGAAACGGGTGTGAATATGAATACATAAACCACGCCGAACCCAAGGCACAATATGTAGTTTAAAAATGCACAAATGCCAAACTTTGGTGTGTCCAGTACAAAAACAACATTCGCACAAACTAACACATGCAAACAACAAGCTGCACAAGTCTCTGTCGGATAAATGCTGGCCATGTACGCAATGCAAGTCGTGCGGGAAGCTAAAAAAATGTAATTGATTTAGTTGCCTTGCTCGAATCAATCAGAATATTAGACTCACATGACAGGCATAGAAGGAACCAAAATTGCACGACAAGTCCCTTTGTTCCTATATCGTATTTATCTAGCTGGACCAAGCGATTTGAGCGATTATAGGCCACTAAGCAATACGCTATGCTTATGAAGTATATCAGAAAAGTCAGGGCACGTAAATCTGAAAATAGAAATTGAGTTCACATTAGAAATGTCCGAATTATATTCACATTTAAATACATAGTGCATTATACTTATTACACGTTAAGCTTTTCACATATCGCAATACTATTGCCAGCTGCAATATTTTCTGTGGAGCAGTTTCTAAAAATAGGTCGAAAAGTCGTATAAAGCCAACGTTACACTCTTCCTTCAAGTGTCTGCGATAACATCTTAAAGTTTGTGGAAATGAAAATCGAAAATGGGAAAATAACATAACATAAAAAACACTTCGATTTAGAAGAAAATGTGTTTTAAATTCTAGAAATATTCGAATTTTAGGATGTCATCTTTTTTTTTTTTTTTTGAATACAATAAACTCAAAGGCGATTATTGCATGAGGGTTCTTCATTTTTATGGAAAATTCGAACTTCTCAAAGTGTTCACACTTTTCTTTCTCATTATTATATTGTATTTTTTTTAATTTATGTGCTTACTCAATCTCGGCAACCTTGTCGACGCGCTTTTTAGCATCGTTGTACTTGAATGCCCAGTTCAGGGTATGTGCATCTCGAAACAAATAGGAGAGTACCAGTTTCCAAAATAGGTCCGTATAGATGAGAGGTTTTTTGCCCAGACTGCTGACAATAAGTCTACAAATGAACAATAATTAAAGAGAATACCGAGATATGCATATGGGCAAAATGACAATATCTTACACATTTGAATATATCAACGATGTCAGAATCATTGGCAATAATATCGATAGGATCGTCCAAGAGCAATAGGCATAAGACTCTGTTAACCAATAATCATAGGCCAGGCACCAGTTCATTATGACTGCAATGCACCGCATGAATGCCGAAATTGCAGTCATTGTGATATTGAACGTTGTTATCTCATGTGGCAATGCTGCAGCCTCAATGTTCTCCATGGTTTCGCCGTACTCCATGTTTAATCTAAGCTAAATCTCTTTTGGAGTTGGCATACAGGCGACCTTTTTCATTTAATTATCATCTTAGTCACTTCGACGTTGGATGTTGTTTGAGCCAAGCTTGGGGCTTAACTATGTATATGCGTCAAAGGCGAGCCATCTGCGCATTAGAGATGAGCAAGCAGCCAATTAGAGATGTGCAAGCCGCCAAGTCGTGCAAATCAGCCAATTATTGGAATACTATGTTGCATTTGCAGACATATCGATGTTCAATTATCGTATGCCACAACCAAAAGTGAAATTTAAAGGGCCACATTGCTGAAAAGCGGGAGCAAGTTGGCAGGGTCAGCGAGATCAGCGTTGCATGTAAGAACATTCTCCGCAAGGTGACGCGTTGAGGGCAGGTCGTGGTCCATAGCGCTTAAATTTTTGTGCCGTACGATCAAATGTTGAAGTACCTTAGGAGTGCCTTAACCCTCCATATTCGATAGACCTTGTGAAGCCAAATTCGGCGTAAGTGTGCCTGTGTGAATAATTGTTGTGCTGCTCTAATTTTGTGGTTTATGTTTAGGTGGCCGACGGCAGGTCACGCCGCAACTGTATAATTTATGTATGTCATATGCTCTGAAGTTGACGCAACAACGACCTCGAAGCTACTGTTGGGAACACACCAAGTATTCCAGAAAGCAACAACGCTGCTGAGATTAAGAAACTCGATACGCAAACAACAAGCAAAGTGATTTCGCTTATTACCAGCGAAACGGGCGTCAAAGCGGAGGCGAACGACACCCATTTGAATCGGCTGCAGACTCTGCGCAACGAGTTGAACTACATCAGTGAGACGAATTGGATGTACGAGAGACTGGAGAAGAAGCCTCAGCAATAGCAGCAATAGAAAGACAACCTAACAACTTAGCATGTATAAAATCTGGAGGAGCATCTTCTCCAACGGGGAGAAGGAGCGGGAGCATAAACTCGATATGCTCGACATGGAGAACAACTTTCTCGACCAGGAGGCAAAAGAAAATGCTGAGAATAGCGATCCGAACTTAAATCTAGCTACTACCACCCACAATTCTGATCAGGAGACAGCTGCCACATCTTCTTCATGCTGCGCACGCAAAGGCGTCATCACCGAATTAACTGGCAATGCAGGCTTAATCAATAACTCCATGTCCTTTAGCCGGCAAAGCGCTGGAGAACTATTTCGTGATCTAAACATTGGCTGTGTTGTCGAGTATTTAGTTTTTCAACAGGACGAGGGCATCTTCAAAGTGGTCAAGATTCATAAAATACTCGAACACTGTTGGGAGTTGCGAACCATTCTCGGCGTCATCACGCAGCGTCTGTCTGCCTCCATCGAAGTGGACATGGGTTATTGTGAATAGATCGTTGAGCTGGACAAGATTAAGATCAATTTCATACCCAAGAAGGGCGATGAAATCAGCCTCGAGTGCATTGTCCAGCTGGACGATGTCTATGTGGACAAACAGGGCGAAATTCTGTTAGTGAAGAAAGTGTCGCCGACGCGCATCGAAACCAATCAAAAGTGCATCATTGAGCGGGTCTTTGAGGAGATTGCTGTGCTGGACAACAATGCGTATGTGCTCAAGGAGGATGTGCCCACGGGCATTAGCCTGCATCTGGGCGATACTGTCAGAGTCGATCTTATCGAGTGTAAACATTCGACATTCACGCGTCGCGCCATCAAATTGATATTGCTGGAGAAGAACTTTGGCCAAGTGAAGAACAAATGTTGACGACGTCCTCGACTGGAAAAAGCGGGGCTATTTCTATAGAAGGCGAGGATCGTTTTGTATTTGTTGGCGAGTGGAAGAAGCATAACATCAGCTTCAAGCTAAAGAACACGGGATGACGCACCTTTGAGCTGAAGCGCATTGAAATACTAAATAAGAGAGCTGCACAGATCACGCTGCTGGAGCCGGTTAGCGAGCGTCACATTGAGATGGGTAGCGAAACTTTAAAGTGAGTCGCTTCATAACGATCATCGTGTGCGAAATGGATGAGGATGCCCGGGAGGCAAAGCGACGTCTGATTGCCTCCCAACAGCTGATGGTCAGTGGCAAGACGGTGGCTCAACGGAGTGAATCGATATCTGTGAAGCGTCGCTTCATCAAAACCCATTTCGCTGGCTACAAGGTGCCCGAACGCCTGCTCCAGATTGTCCTTAAGACGGATCGAATGCAAGACATGCGCCAACAGTTGGTCAATCAGTATCCATACCTGGAGGAGCTGCTCAGCTACGAGAACTATGCGAAACGTTTCGATACGTTGCTGTTTCTGGAGGAGATCGAATATATGATCAGCTTTCGTAATTTTGATCGGGAACGTGCTCATTTTCAGCGCGATAGGAAATATCTATCGGTGCACGTGGAGAATCTGGCGGAACGTCGTCCCTCCTTGGTGCTGGGCGACTCTGTGAATGCCATCAATCCCTGGCTTGAAAACAGCGTCTATCAGGGCATCATACATAAGGTGCTCTTCGATCGCGTCCTGCTCAAGTTCAACGCCAGCTTTCAGCAGCAATATAATAGCGAGGATTATCGCCTGGAATTCCATTTCTCCAGATATGGGTTTCGCAAGCAGCATTATGCTGTTAATCACATACCCAACTATTTGGGTCAGCATTTCCTATTTCCCAGCAAGGTGACCAAACGCGACAATCCCCAATTGGACGTCCAATTCAGGGATGATGTAATGCATCTCTATGATGACCAGTTGCCCTGGTTCAATCCGCAGCTGGACTCCATACAAGATACTCCGTGGTGAATCCGATCGAATTCCGTATGTCATCTTTGGTCCGCCGGGCACTGGCAAATCTGTCACACTGGTGGAGACCGTGTTGCAACTGGTGTATAATTTATCTGGTGCTCGGGTGCTCGTTGGCACTCCGTCGAACAGCTCGGCGGATTTGATCACCAAGCGAATCATTGACAGCAATGTGCTGCAGCCGGGCGAATTTATACGGCTCGTCTCACATAACCAGGTGAAGAAGGATCTGGTGCCGCCGGAACTGATGACCTACTGCGCCACCATCGAAATTGGCATCCTGGACGCCAGCGATGATAGCATAATTGTCACGGATTCGGGACTCAAATTGCGCTGCCCGGCAAACTTTCTGGGCAAGCATCGGTTGACGATCAGCACGTGCTCCACGTTGGGGAACTTTATACAAATGGATTTCCCTTCGGGCCACTTTACACACCTGCCGATCGACGAGGCGGGTCAGTGCACGGAGCCGGAGACGATGGTGCCCATTGCGCTGGTTGCCCAGAAGCGCAGTCAGGTCATCCTTGTGGGAGATCCGCTGCAGTTACAGGCCATTGTTAGCAGTCGTCATGCTGTTGAATTTGGCTTGCCCTTATCGTTCCTGGAGCGACTACTGCAGACGGCACCATATCGTCAAGATCTGCAGCGATTCCCCGACAGCTCCGCCTACAATCCGGATGTGCTGACCAAGCTGCTCTACAATTATCGTGCGATTCCCTCGATTATGTCCGTGTACAGCAGACTATTCTATGACAACGAGCTCATCGCTCAGATCTCGAAGGAGGATTCACACGAGGCACAGCTACTCGTCAAGCTGCAGTCGCCGCTTTTCAATACGGAGAATACGCCACGCACCCATGGCGCCTTCTTCCACGGCATCTTGGGTGAGAATCGGCAGGACATGCTATAATGTCGCCGAGGCTGTTGAGGTCTTCAAAATGTGCTGCAAATTGTATGACCAAAATGTGCGTCCCCAAAATATTGGCATAATGTCGCCGTATTCGAAGCAGGTGAAGGTGCTGCGCACTTTGTTCATCGGTGCCAATATGGACATGGCCAAGATTGGTTCCGTCGAGGAGTTTCAGGGTCAGGAACGTGACATCGTGTTGATATCCACGGTGCGCTCCTCGCAGGCCAATCTCCAGTCGGACGCAAGGCTCAGTTTGGGTTTTGTGCACAGCAGCAATCGCATGAATGTGGCTGTCTCCCGTGCTCGCTGCCTGATGGTCATCTTTGGCAATCCTCAGCTTCTGGCCCTCGACGACTGCTGGCGCCACCTAATCGTCTACTGTGCCAACAACAATGCCTACATTGGCTGCGAGCTGCCATCGGATATCCAATCCCTGGACGAGGAGCTGGATGAATCCGACGAGAATCTGGCGGACTCCTCTGATTAGTTGCCTTAATTGGCCAATTGGCCAACTTAACCACTGCTAGATGTATCCAAAGACAGCAGCTGTCGACAAGCGAATTTATTTTAATATTAAAAACACATTCCCTAATAACCATTAAATATGTACAACTTTTGTATCTTGAATCAATTCATTTTCATTTATATATAAATAAACATTTATGAAGAGTTACCACTAAAAAAAAAAAAGGGGGGGGGGGGGGGGCAAAGAGAAACACATGTAAAAAAAAATCAGATCCACGCCCTGTCGAGTGTAAGTCGACTGCGCGCATGTGATCAGTGCCAAACCCAAATTCAGCGCCCAGGGCGCAGTGCTCCAGCACACCCACCCCTCCTCCAGTATATTTATGTAAATGTTGAATGTTATGTTAAGCAAATTTGTTGAATGTTATGTTAAGCTATTCGTTATTTATGTTAATGTATTTATTTATTCACGTATCTATTATTAATTTAAATTTCTAAGTTAACCGTGTTCTTCAACAAAATCCGGCGTCCGGATATTTGCCAAATTGCGGAATCCATTTTTGCACGAGCCCCCCATACATCGAATACTTATATTGGAGCTCTAATAGGGTAGGAAAGGGATTTGTTCAATTTTTTTATTTTGGTTTCATCGGATTTGGCAAGATTCCCGATTTAAATTCAAAGTTGAATAGCCGTTGCAGCATACAACGCTACCTAGCGGCGTATTTGGTAATTACTACATTATACCATATAATGTATGTTAATAAATTGTAAGGAAATAACGATGATCTGTGAGTAAGTTAAATACAGGGGAGAATCACCGGGATCATGGAATAAATTAGTCGTCAACTACAATTTAAGAGCGATGGGCGAATCCATCCGTGTAGGCCCATTGCAGAAAGGGCGGGTAAGTCGTGGCCATAAACATCAGGCCCGTCAGCTGTTTCGTTTGTTTTGTGTGTGCATGTAGGTCTTTATGTAGTGTTGTGTAGGTCGAGTTTTTTTTTGAGTCTGTACCGTTCACGGGCATGGTTTAAGTTACCCACCTCTGGGAATACTGAGCTAGCCGAGGTTGCCCACTGCGAAACACTGGACGTGTTACAACTAAATTCGCCTCTGTCCCAGAAAAAGAATTAATTCTTGCTTCAAATAAAATACCGACAGATAATAATGTCTGAGACAATTAAGGAAATCGCTGAGCTGCATTTAAATTGTTTGTTGCATAAATTCAATTGTGTACACAGCTTCTCGTGAAGGGGTTGGCGGAATTGCGTAGATTTGCGAGTTGTGATTCGTTCATAAATTGCAATGCATTTCACAATCCTCTGTGCGTCTGGGCATTATTAAGTGGCTTAAGTCAACTGAGATGAGATTTCAGTTTTGGCATTACTTACGCATTAACTTTACCGCTAGACACGAACGCAAAGCAAAACAAATTCAAATATAAAACGGCTGATTTTAATATTTCTTGGTTTATATATTCACGTTTTTTTTTTAATACATTTTTGTTTCCATTTACAAAATTAATAAACTTTTAACCTGTATCCCATCATTTTATTTCGTATAGGTGTATGACATTTCCGTGTTTTATGTTGTTATTGTTGTTGTTGGGAGTTGTATAAATTGACTTCGGAAAGGAGATTACAATAAAAGATTAAATAACAGTGTGTATACCATGCCTATAACTAATAAAGGTTATAAGAAAATGAGCTAATACTTTTCTCTTATTGTTCAAAAAGAAAACCAAAAACAAAAAATAAAGAAACTACGCAAACAAAACTATTCACGTACATAAGAAGATATTTATAGAGTAATAATTCGAGATTTGAGATTTCCAAATATTTGCACCAGATTGCAAAAGGGCCGTGTCTTGCAATTTACTGTTTCGCTTTCGCTCTATCTTTCTCTTTTTTTTTTGTTTTTTTTTTTTTAATGAGTAGCGAATTGAGTAAGAGATTAGAACGATGAACACGGCAAAGTTAATTTTGTATCATTATGGAGCATACACCGTTTTTAAGATTAACTGAGAATGCAGTTGACGAAAATCACTTCAATTCATACATACTAAATAGGATAAATCCGAAGAGAGTATAGATTGGAATGTTTAGTGTAGCATGAGTATTAGCCAGCGTCTTGGCACCGGCAGTTAAGGCCATTTGCTGAAAGTTGCGGCACAGAGTCTCGTTTCTGATAAAGTTGAACATTGACTCTATGAGATTTGCCGGTGTTATTTCCGAGCAGTGCTCCAAATGACGAACAACACAGTTTTCCAACGTTTTAATATCACTGCACTGCTTCTGGCCCACGACTAGTTTGGGTATTGTTTTGATCTGATTGCTGTCGTGCATATCTGCATCATTGAAATACGTAGAAAAGGTGCTGTTTAGGCACTGCTGGATATTGTCCTTTTGTGACTCAAGGCACTCGAATCCCTGCTCGGCGATAAATAGAGCGATTTGGTCCCCATCCTTGTGGCACACAAAGTTCAGCAAACTCTGCACAATACGTGTCATAACATCATGGCTCTCCTGCTCTTCCTTGTCCAGGCATGGCAACAATTTATTCGAGAATGTTTCAAAGCAATTGGTGGCATTCGAGCGCTGCTTGCAATACTTATTGAACACCACATCCAACTCACCAAGAGGACGTGCGGTCTGAATTTCTTGTTTCATTGTCGTGTAATTGACAATATTGTTGATGCATTCGCTGAGTTTAAAGAAGCCGGACTCAATATTATTGTAGGCCTGGTCACCAAGCTCTTCGCCGGATACTTCTATGCATTTCCTGCGGAATACTTCTTTCACTTGGTTGTAGCTAATATTGGATTTTAACAAATCATCGGTAAATTGATTTTGCAGATCGAGATTGTCCAAATTTAATTGCGCCTGCGCTTCAAATATTCCGCAAACAATTAAGATTGACCAGATGCAGGAAATGGCTGGCAGCTTCATCCTGTTATATGATTTATTGTAATTGAGCTTCCTCAAAAACTATGTATTTCAAACAAAATTCTTGGCTTATATCGATTCGACTAGCATTACCACCGACACCCCTTAAAATATAACGTATTGGTTTTAATTAGCTGTTAATAACCAGTGAATTAATATTTAATATCTACCTGTACTTTGAAATCCGACCTGCACGTATGGATTCTTATTGGACGACGTACGGGTTCTTATTAGACAATTAATTAGTCATTGTGTTTATGTTCATCATACCCAACCATGCTTATGGCCACTTATCGTATATCGGACAAGGTGGAATAGAACAGATTCTCTTTATCATGTGTCGATGGATAAGGACCAGTGCTGCCAGTTTAGCCGCGTCCCGGCAGACCAATAAGCGGCTTGAAAAATATTTATTTATGTATCATTGCCATCTCAACCACAAAGAAATTTATATTTAAAATGTTGAGTGTTTTCTACCCATTGAATATAAATATATATATTTTTATATCTCGCCTGTTTTCTGATGATGCTATCGATTACTAGCAGTCGACAGTTGCTAAAGACCGTTCATATGAACTATTGCGGATTTTGTTTATTACTTAAAAATAATTTAATTTCATTTATAACAGAAATTGTATATAACTTGATTTTGTATTTTTCCAGCATAAAAGTTCCTTTCATACTGAAAATTTATTAATATATTTCGAGAATTTGAGCAACTAGTTAAACTATTTTGAACGTTCGATAAGTATTACGAATCGATTTCACGTACGTGCGACAGTGTAAAAATATCATCACAAGAACAAAGTAAAAGCGGGAAGTTCTGCTGTGTTTTAAAGCTTGTGCTAGTTTTATTGTACTTTTTTTCCTCTCATAAAATGTGTGATACTCCGAATCTAATTGACTTAACAGGTTGGGATGAGCCTGTTAATGGTAAAGCAAATATTGATAATACACACTCGGACCCTGTTCTCATCGAATCGAAACAATTCAAGGGGCCTTATGATCCTTTCGATTCGATGGAAAAAGAAGCCTGCATCAAGGTTAGTTCTTACACACATACATACAACACTGCAATGTGTTCACTTTGAAGAAACAGCGGTTTTACACATATGTACATAACATTTATTTAACAGGGCTTACATATTACAAATACAGTACATAATTGTGGAACCAGAGCTAACAATGATTCTCAATGTGCTGATCAAGACTTAAGCCATGAAACGCCAACCGTTGCCTTGGAGCTTGAACAAAAAAATGACAATGGATTCAAAACCTCCACAGTCGGCAGCAATGAATCGCGTCAGCGAAGCCTTCAACAGCTGGCCAAGCTGAATGCGACAAGGCTATCAAGTGTGAATACGCCATCGCACAATCCATCGACACGGGTTTTCTCCTTTTTTGAGAATTCGATTCTGGCCGAAAATCTGCAAATGATTGCGGCAGAATCGCCAATCAAGCTCATAGAAGATGAGACCAGTCCAATTCCTCTAGCTAATACCGCTGTTACCGCTCTAAGTGACGGTACATGCTCCAACATGGAGTTCGAAACACGCTTAAAGATGCTGCGTATCGCTATATTGGAATCTCCTTCCAAAACCGAATCACATGCAACTCCGAACACAGAACAGGAGCTAATCAGAACCACAACAGCAACACCAACACCAATAAATGTACCTAGTCCAACACCGGCGCCAACAGATGCAATGGCCGATGTTGGAAAACTCTTGCAGGACATGAAATCTTTGATTTGTGAGCATGTTGACATATCCAAAAGGGAGCAGTGCAATGTGCTCTTTGAATCGCTCAGTGCTGCTATTTACGGCAGTGCATTACCATCAGCAGCAGGATTTGGCAGCCAGAAAACTAAGGAGTCACCGAGCATCTACAAACGGCAAGGCACATTCGACTTGGATCTTGAGAGACAGGTAGGTCCTTGCTGCATACAAATATCAATTAAATGCGAACTACTAACCCCACTTTCTTCGTAGAAAAAGAATGACGATTTGGAAGATTGTGTGCAGGGATCGAGCCGAAATGTGCAGGACATTCCAGATGTAATGACTTGTTCATCGGCCACATATATTGCCGAGTCGCATGATAAACCCGCAAGTCCGATTAGTGACACTGGATGTCCAAAAGCATCGCCAGTTGTAAAGCAAAAAAAAACAGATTCCTATGTGAAGGAAGTAGTTGACGAAAATTTGACTAGTCAAATAAACGAAATTCTGGAGCGGCACAATTTGACAAGGGTGCAGCATTACGCTTCGGACCATAACGAGACGGAATCTGGCGGTGGCGGGGCAACCGTAATATTGGTTGTAAATTCAGCGGCGGCAAACCAATTGCCTAGTGGCATAGTGTATCCAAAATCAGCTAAAGTAGTACCTACAGCTAATCAGGATAACCTATTGCGCCGACGTTCTTCTTCGCTATCAATTCATGACAAGACTACGCAGGATCGACCAAAAATACAGTCGAAGCAATCATCTGTCGACAACACCACAAACACAAATATTCAAACAGCGCCACTTAAGGAGCTATCAAACGTCGGTGACAAATTGAATGTAATGACATCCGTCAGGCAACGCCGCTATTCCTTCTCCGTTGGTTCGATAGCTGGTAAAATGAATGCGACAGCTGCAGCCGCTGCTCCTGCACAGAGCCGCGCCCTTCTTAGTGGCCGCAACAAAAGCTGCGCGATGAGCGGATCCAACGTAAAATGTGTTGCACCCACTAAAGCAAATATACCCGTTAAGCGCGTTGTGCCAATGATAAAGACATCGTTATGCCCCGAAGAGCTCAACTCTTTGAATACAACAACGCCACGCTGCAATAATGGCCAGGAGACGCCCATAGCGGCTAGAGCCAATGCAACAGGTGGCAAAATATTTTACACCAGCACACCCATGCCACAAGTACGCACGATGACGCGCAGATCCTTAAGACCAGTAAGCAACTATTCCAGCGCTTACTCGAAGAACGCTGCACAATAAACTCTAAAGCCAGCCCCAATATGTGATCGTTTCCAGTTCTATAAATTGAACTTTTGACTGGAAGTAAAATAGAAGTCTAAATATCAGAATCCGTCATGCCGGGACACCCTTGCCTGGAGTTATTTTATAAAATTCATTTTGGTTTCTCCTCATTGATTTTCCTTAACTAAATTTTAATTTTGTATTGAATGTATTTAAATTAAATCAATTTCCGACCTATAATCGTATAAGCCAAATTAAGTTAAATAAGATCAAATGAAATGCTTGTATTTTCTTTTCTTCTTGTAAATCACAATTAGTAATTGTTAGTTCTGAATAAATTAGCATTTAATTTCATGTAATTTCATGTGACTTGTTTGATTTGATTTACTTGTCATTGAGCTTGTTCTTCAAAATGCTGAGATGAGTCAGACAGTTGTCGCGATAAGTCCGACGTTCGACTAGTTTGTCCAGTGGCACCATATCGTTCAGCTGCTTGGCAATCTCGACAGCAGTGGGTCCCTCCATTTTGGGAGTGTCGCCCATTGTCACGCTGACGGCATGGATCGTTTTCGAGTAGCGCTCAAAATAGTTGGCCATTCCTTCGGCGTTCAGATGCGCCGTCTCCAGTGGGCCCAGGAAGGCATAACGCATGCCCAGACCATCGCTCATGACGCTGTCAATATCCCGGACATTGAGTATGCCGGATTCAACCAGACGCCACGTCTCATTCAAGATGGCATATTGAATGCGATTTAGGGCAAAGCCTTCAATCTCACGCGACAGCGTGACGGGCTTCTGGCCAATTTCATCCATTAGGTCGCGAGTCCTTTGGACAACCTCTGGCTTGGTCCATGGCGCTGGCACAATCTCCACCAGCGGCACATAGTAGGGCGGATTGACGGGATGCGAGACAACAGTCTAGAAAAATTGCCAGAGAATATAAATCAATCAAGGTGCTCAGCACAAGATTAGCACTCGGACATGCGTAGATAACATGTACAGCTGTGGATTTTCCATATATCATTCTTAACGACCCAACTCACGTTGTGTTTGTGCTTCAAGTTGGCAGTGAACAGCGACGGTAGAAATGTGCTTGTGGAACTGGACAATATTGTGTTGCTATCAACCACATCGTCGAGCTTCTTGAACAGCTCTTGTTTCCACTCCAACTTCTCGGGTATACACTCCTGTATAAAGAAAGCGCCTTTGGCCAGCTCCTTGATGTCGTTGGTGCCCGAAATACAACTAAATTGATCCTTTGCAGTCAATTTGCCACGCAGCAGACCCTTCGTCTCCAGATTCAGCAATTCCTTTTGCGTCGCAGTCAGTGCGCCCTGCACCTGCTCGGGCAGGATGTCATAGAGCGTCACCTGATAGCCAACCGAGGCGAACAGCATGGACCACGAGCGTCCGATGAGCCCACTGCAAATATGTGCATTATTCAGCATACATATGCATATACCACATCATAAATCTCACCTGCCAACGATGCCTATTTTATCACTTTTCTTTAAATCGGCCATTATTATTATTATTGATTTCTTTCGCTACTTCGAGTTGATTTGATTTGACTGCTAGAGAATACAGACGACCACATTGAGCGGAGAACTTGATGCGTTTGAGCACTGAATTGCTTAGCGCAACCGGTTTAATACTACCACCAGTACTTAATATAAGCGATAACAACAAAAGGTGAACGCGACCTACATGTGTACACAATTTGTGATGCGTGTGGTTGGTTGGGTGTCGCTGATTCCAGCACCAGATAATAATGGCAGCCGACAAAACGAACACCAGCAGCACAATTCAACTAGTTGTTATGCCTGCTAAAAACAATATGCCCGCTGGAAAAGTGGAGAAGACTGCAAAACACTCGTGTATTCTATATACATATACAAATATACATATATATTTATACATACACATACAATGTGTGCAATACATATAATAAATCAGCAACTATTTAAGCTTTTTGAATGGTTGTTTCTCAAACCGGTTAAGTGAGGAGGCCTTTAAAATCGTTGACACTGAAATTCTATGCACATATTCAATTATTATATTTTTTAGCAAATTTGCCAGCGGGTATGTTTTCAATAGGTCGCGTCAAAATGCCCTTAATTTGACTTTAAACATTTATTCTTCTTTACAATGTTTACCAACCAAGTAGTAGTAGTATCTATTTATTGTGCTGCACGCCACGCACAACAAATTCTTGAGTACAGTCAGAGATAAATGTGAGTGTTTGAATTGTCGAATGGAACTATTTGAAGATAAACAAACACATTTTCCACGCACCAACGCATATTTGCTTATATTTATTTACATACACATGTATGTGTATTTATATAGAGATTTGGACTACAGTTGATGGGGCTCACCTTTTTGCATTAGAAATACACTTGTTGAACAATCGACGAACTGCATTCAAATCATTTTCTCTGTTTCTGTTTTGGGCACTGGTTATAATCAAATGGGGGTTGGCAATTGTAGAAAGTAAAGTTCTCCTCAATTTAGACTCTGCTGAAAAGTGCAACTGATCAACTCAAACAAGGCATTCTGCTGTTTGCGTATTTGACGAGTCACTCACAGCACGTCAACAGTTCAGCGATTTGCTCTCCTTACAAAAGTCATTAAAAACAGAAAACCAAAGCTATAGTATTGTATAATAATAACTATAATATGGTATATAAATGTTGCGCAATGGCACAAAACCTGTGATAAGATATGCAAAATAAATCCATTTACTTGTCCCCCACCAAGGCAATCCTATGAAAATTAATTTTCACATGCTCATGGTCCATAAAAATTCAGAAACGTGGTCCAAAACTACCTAAACATGACTCCTGGCCTGGCTAATGAAATTCAATGTCGTTAATGTACGCTCCGTCGTCACATCTCGATCCAATTGAAAACCAAGATGCCGAGAAGAAACAACGGGAAGTCGCCAAATGCCAGATGAACTAATATCTAACAACTTTGGGGAGTAGTTGAGCGTTCTTGAAATTCCATATCTTTAGAAAGGTACTTTTACAAAGAGTGATTTGCGAGCGTCATATTGTAGACCATTTTGATACTTGCAGAAGACTGGGTGTTATAATTATTTTGTCACTAAGCTTGTTGCGACTTAAATGCAAATTGCTTGTTAAGGGACACTTCATGAAGAAAATACACTTTAAACATTCGAGAAAGAATTCATACATATATATATTTTTGACTATTGTCATATTTTCCAATAGCTTTACTATCATTATGAGCGCAGCTGTATGTTGTCAGTCGATTGCATTTGCTTGTGACATTGAAAAAGCGTATCACAGGACTTGGGCGACCTTAAGTACTTCCTATTTGTCGTAGGAGCTAACTCTTTTGGTTTTGGTAACTTAGGCCCACCGGCAATTGTCAAGTCAATATATAGGTCTGTAAAGTTGAATATATATATTTATGTTGAAAAGTTGACTCTTATATAGATGATTTCATACATACGATATCCATAGAAAGGCCATGCTTGATATATATACATATATATATATATATATAATTTATTTTGTTCAGCTGTTTCTTTTGTTGGGGATGAATTATATAAAATGTGTATAACTAGTGGGTTTCCTTATGCTTAAAGCGCCATTTTGCGACCCTCGATAGATATTTCGACGGCGCGACGACTTTCTTTCGAGCGTTTCGAGTCTAAAAATCGTTTCATATGTTTTTCATAACGGTTGGGCTTACGCTTGGAGGCCTACAAGAAAAAAAAAAACAGAAGAATATTATTAAGAAACACAATTATTTGGGTGCTTTTCATAATAGCGGCGACATACCGTTGTCACTTCGCCTTCAACTGTTGATTTTGGGCGAATAACGTAATCTTTGTTGGAAGGCATTGGTACACGAGCACGGGCCACCCAGCCAGGATCACCGGGACGTAGTGGTTTATCATCACTTGAGAAAGTGTGATTTAGCGTTTGTGGATTACTGGATGCAGCGGGCTCGGGATCTGGGCTCTTCTGGCGATTGCGAGACATTTGCGCTAAATCACGCTCCTGCCGTTCCTCCTTGCTCATTGCAGAGAAATCACAGCTTAAATTAAATATGGGACGAGCCCATTCCGATATCAAGCGACCCGCACGATCGCGATTTGTCTTTGTCTCTTGTGGATGCTTGTACAAATACATGACAGCTTTGCCAATGCCCGATTGCTTCAAATATGATTTATCAATGGTTGGAAACTAAAAGGGGGACCGGGAGGAAGAGTTTGTTATTTACATTTGTCATTATGCCATTGAAATGGGTTAATATATTTACATCGGATAACAATCGCAAAATGCTCTCTCGTATTTGCAGACACGGGAGGCTTTTATTTGGCAATGGTGCTAACCAATCTGTAAGTACGTTGAGTATATTGTGCTCCAAGAATGCCAGCTGAAGATCCTTCTTTATCAGCTGTGACATCACTTGTTTGAGCATTGAAATTTTCTTTGTTGCTGGCCTGCCGGCCAAATTCAGCTGTCGATCGTCGTCCGATGCATTTTTCATATTTATAATCAATTGATCGATAAGATCGTCATTATCATTTATCAGATCGATATCTCTCTTGCGTCTTCGCACGCGTTTCTCTTCCTTTTTACGCATCAGCATTGCATCAAAATCGGAAACAAAGTTGCTGTTCCTAAATAACTCAATATGTTAATACAAATATTCAGGCACACACAGTTTTTATTCTATATAGTTACTCTGGTTCATTTGAAATGGGTGTGTTTTCATCATCTGAACTTTCCACCAATTTATCCTGGGCACTTTTCGCATCCTCATCGTTTGGCTTTTCCCCATCGTCCTCATCCTCATTATCTGTATCTGTGATTTTGGGTCGTTTTCTTTGTATTTTTGGTGCGTCATCTAAATAATAAACATTAATTAATACAGATTTAATCGATATAAGAAAGTCCAGCACATGCCGATTGCCGCAAAATGTACCTTCAGAGTCACTATCTATTATTCGTTTGCGATCCAGTGCATCTTGTGAAGTGTTATTCTCGGCAATACTCTTGGAACGCGAACGCTTGTCGCGGGAGGCGTCGTTGTGTTTCTCGTCGTCGGAATCCTTTCTGTTTTTACTCAGACTTTGTGTGGAGGCAGCACTGTTGGATCGACTGCGCGTGGCCCTGGAGCCAGCGCGGGAGGCCTTAGAGCCAGCGCGTGAGGCCCTTGATCCAGTGCGTGAGCGCCTCGATCCACTACGTGATCGTCTTGATCCACTACGTGATCGTCTTGATCCACTACGTGATCTCCTTGATCCACTGCGCGAGCGTCTTGAGCCACTGCGTGAGCGTCCTCCAGATCCACTTCGTGACCGCCTGGAACCAGATCCGCTGCGTGAGCGTCTGGATCCAGATCGACTACGTGAACGTCTGGATCCACTACGGGAACGCCTAGATCCGGATCCACTGCGAGAGCGTCTAGATCCGGATCCACTGCGGGAGCGTCTAGATCCGGATCCACTGCGGGAGCGTCTCGAGCCACTACGGGAACGTCCTCCCGATCCGCTACGTGAGCGCCTAGAACCGGTACCACTGCGCGAGCGTCTGGAACCGCTACGGGATCGTCTTGAGCCACTACGTGAGCGCGAGCGTCCGCCAGATCCACTCCGTGACCGTCTCGATCCACTGCGCGAACGTGAACCACTGTGAGCAGATCCACTACGCGAGCGTCTAGATCCTGAACCACTGCGCGAGCGATGCGAACCACTTCGAGAACGCTGACCAGAGCCGCTACGAGATCGCCGGGATCCGGACTGACTACGGGAACGTCGTGAGCTGTCAATTACACTACGACTACGGCTGCGACTAGGCGACTTTCGGTTTGCGCTGGCTGAACGGCTTCTTGTGCTTCGAGCAGGCGAGTCAGATGTCGCTTGGACTGCCTCGGAGGTAGGAGGCAAGGCAGACGGTTCCTCCACGGTGCTAGTTGAATCAACCTCATTATCTTGAAGACTTTTCGTTTCAGTGTCCAAGGTCGGAGTCGCGTCTAGAATCTTTCCATCTTCCGGTTCCTTATTGCACGCATCACCTAAAAGATAAAATGTGAGCGCAAAGCACGCTAAAATAGAGAATTGCTCCCTTTTTTTGTGTAATACCTTTTTCAGCGTCCATTTCCATATTTAATGCCGCTATTAAATTCGGCCCATGCGTAATTTGTAGTTTGGTTCAGTTATTATTTTACACGTTCGCTTATGGCCAACAATATTGCTATGTATACTTAAGATTTGTCAAATAAATTTCGAGCACACATTTGTATGTATGTAAATATGCCTGTGCGAAGCGATTAACTCGCCATATCACACAGCTAACGAACGAATGGAAAATGGAACATAAAATTTTCGATACATTTGGAATTTACACATGTGATCGGAACCATGTGCCATAGTTCCATTTTTCAAGCAGAACTAGTTCTTGCTCATAATTTTTGTCTCCATTTATATTTTAAAAATATCTACATATTTTTAATTCTGAAAAATTCAACAATCCTATTTGAATGAAACCGAATAAATATATCTTTGTCGTTAAGTCGTCTAATATTTTGCTATCGATTTTTCAGACGTTGTAGCTTACCAAAAATTATTGGACACACTGCCTGATTCCAGGGGTACAATAAAACAATGTTTTCGATTTTTTTTTAGTATTTTATTGCTAACAATTTTAATATTTGAGTATAGTTTTAAGCCCCGTAATTCCATGTTATCTGAAATCATGCTGATTTACAAGCATTAAAGATTCAATTAAACTAATTTAAAACGTTGCCGAAAGAAACAAGAACCCCAATTCACACAGACCGTCTCGGCAATATCCCACTCGAATTAAAGAGTTTATGAATATTGCGTCATATGCGCAAAAATATGCTGCGAGATCCTATGCAAATATGGAGCGGTTAATTCTTGCTTTACGCCAACGCTGTAGTTCAGCGGCGAACGAGCAAATTTATGCTCAAGGACGCCGCTGCTATCCTCATCCACCTCCCATGGAACATGATCCGCCATTTACATCTGAATGCTGTTGTATACGTCCAATGCGTCGATTCGGCCTTAGGCCGTCACTGCCTCCTCCTCCTCCACCACCACCACCACCACCACCACCACCGCCTCCTCCTCCTCCACCGCCACCACTCCAACCAGACCAATGGCGAGAGTTACCGCGGTTATTATTTCCATTGCTAAAGGGCGCAAATAGCGTTTGGAAGCTGAAAGCAACGCATGTGATGACTACACCAAACACAATAATATGGTCTAAAAGGGTTAATATCCGAGCACTTACAATTGCAATATTAGGTGCCAGAGGCCGACGAATATTTGGACAACTCGCTGCAAGTCCCAAGGTCGCTTCTCCCAGACGCGACCATCTGAAATAACCAACGATAAATGGGTGTCAACAGTATGTTCCAAGGCAAGCAGCAATGAGACATCTGTTGTCTTGTACTTACTACGGTCAATGTAAACCATTATGGGTCTCTAACATACATAAATTTTGTTGGTTGTTTGTTTATACTGCTACTTTATATATTATTAAAACGATTCGCAAGTTGGGTGCCAGTGACGTGTCTCTAGACTAAAGCCATGCACGATTGGAGATTTTTAGATATCGATATTTTTTAAGAAACAAGGGTATGCCCTTGTGCAAGTAACAACGCTACAGAAGCACCAAAAGCAATTGAGTAATTCAGCTTATGAGCCTACTAGTAGAAAACATAACGAAGCAATTGAAACACATTTAAATGTATAAATTTATATGAGTGTTGGCATCATGAGTTTCAAGCTTCTATGTAACTGGAATATCGCTAGTGACAAGTGTATGTTGTCATAGTGCGATGAGTCGATATTGTCTTATCGATAGTCCATTAGTGTCACAGTTTCAGTCAAGTGGAAAGAAATACAAGTTGCAATTTAGCCATAACAAAACGGCTAAGACGCTGTCGCTGGCGTCTGTGGCTGCACACTTATCGCAGCGATATCATAGTGTATGCACATCTACACATAGATAACAACAATCAACAACAGGAAAGCAACCATCGTGCATCGTGGAGCTGACACAGACCACAACTACGGTCAGCTGCTACCTGAGACCGAGGTGAGTTCGAGCGCAGCGCAATTTCTATCCCCCCTCAACCCCAACAACGACCCCACCCACCTCCACCAAACTACTAATGCGTATCTCTAACCAAGTTTGCAGCCTGTGCACATCACTGACTAACAACAAACAACGTCGTCATCTGCGTTCTAAACATCTTCAGAGCCGCCGCTATCCAAAATATTTAAATTTGTTTTAGGAACTGCATTATCGTCGACATCACCTCCCACGCAGTTCGTTCTGTTTTTTGTTTTCTAATGACACATAAATAGCTTAACCATTAGTTTCCTTTACGTTTCGATTTCATTTCGATTGCCGGCATTTCACTCGCGCATCAATCTGCATATGTCTAATAAATATTTGCTTAATGCAACGGGTTTCCATTTGGACATTATTCGAAGACACATATTCAAAATGGCTAATGTAATCGTAATAATGGCGGGTGTAATCAAGTTGTGCAAACATTTATTTAAAGAAGACATCTCAGATCAAGTCAAGTTTGCTATATGCTATATGCACATAATAAAAACCCATTAAAATTTCAAAACGATTCCAACAATAAGCAGCGGATATTATTTAAGGGTATTTTTCTAGTCAGGCAGTCAGCCACGACTCGAGCTCTTTTTCTTCTTGTGTGCACTTGGCTTTTGTCAACAAATCATTTACACTTCAACTTGACCTTTGCGGTTGGTATTCCGCATAATATGTACATATGTGTATGTATGTACATACATATTTATATATGCATATATATATATATATATATATATATTTATATACATATATATATATACATGAATATGTGCACATTTATTTGGGCTCCATATCTGTATCGGTTACAGCTCGTTGCACGCTACCGCTGCCGTTTTGGCAGTCAACTCTTGTTGTTGTTCTAGCAGCTGCTCTGCGTAGAGCATTGGCTGAATTTGGTCAGTAGTCAGTCGGCAAACAACGCTCGCGTACGCATTTTTCTAGCTCGATTCGTTTTGTTCTATTGTTTTTCTTTATTTGTTGTTTTTTTTGTGCTTTTTTCTCCGTTTCGTTTTATTAGCTGACATCATTTGGCCGCTGGTCAGTCTCTCGGTGTGCGTGTGTGTGTGTGCAAGTTAAATATATTTGCTTATCACAGCTACTGCTAACAATCGGTCTTGCTATTCTTGCTCTTTGCTCTCTCTCCCTCTCTCTCATTCTTTGGCCGTCAGTCAGTCAGTCTACCGTTATGCCTGACACATCCCCAAAAGCTGCCGTTGCACAAATGATCGAGCGCTTAGCGTGAACTGGAATCGAGTGTGTGCCTGTAGTAACGAGTATAATACTCGATAATTTAAAGCTGCCACCTGGCAGCTGGCTGGCTCTCCTCTTCAACTTGCATTTCCTGTCGCTATCTCCCTGTGCCTGTGCCCTGCCTCAGCAATGTATTCAGCGGGTAAATAGATGACATACGCTCATACGTTTAAACATAGCAAATATGAATTTATACATCCATCAGCAAATAATAGAAACAAACATGATCAATAAGCTCTCGCACATTTTCCATCCCCATCCCCATACCCATCCCCATTCTCATTCCAACTCAATCACATTCACAAATTCCACAGTTGTTTGATTTCTTGTATTTTTAGACTATTTGCTTATTTCGTGTAACTGTTTCTCTGCGCCTCTGTGTGTGTCTGTTTGCTGTTGAGTGCTTCATATTTGTTTTACTTTGGAGCTTCAAGATCACACACAAAGGCGTACCCTGCTTTTTTTTGCAAAGGGGACTGAATTGTTCGTTTTAGCTTTTGTGCAATTCTTAACATAGAAGATTCTTAACATTATACCCAGGGGAATCCCTTTAATTTTGAGAGGCAGGCCAATTAAAAGGTATATATGACGTATGGGAACAAATTCATTACGAATTCGGAATTTTAAGTTGAACGATAAGAGCTATTATTATTAGAACAAACAAACATATAGATGTGGGTCTAAATTGTATTTTTGTTTTCATACATTTTAATCTACACCACGTTTCATGCATTATTATCAAAGTATTTTAAAATGTCAAAGGTTTTTCTTTATTAAGAAACTTATCTGAGGTTAAGTCTTCGTTTTGTAGGGTACGCTCTGCATTATTATTTTGTTTTATTTATTACATATCAGCACATTCACGTAGTGCTTTATTGTTATAAACACAAATGACAGCACGTTGGTCAATTTGCACTGTTTTGGGCCGGAAATGGATGATCATCCATTTGGGTTAGCGAGCTTAATGTGCCCCCATATCATGCCCATTACTTACTGCCAATTACATAATTGACCACACTTCAATGACATGCTCCCTCTTTCAACAGTTAGCCAGGCAGTCGGTATCAGTAGCCGCCGACCTCGACTCACTGATAACTTCGTAGCTTAGCTTACCAATTATAAATTGCACTGTGGGTCAAAACTCAACAGTTGTAAATTTACATATTATATGTAATTAATATAACTGAAACCAAATAATTGGTTAAACTTGTTTGAAAATACACTTAAATTCTTTTATTTTTTTGTTTATTAAGTTAATTCGTTTCTTTTCGAAAAGCATGAGTTCATTACGACGACTATATGCAAAACACCCTGTAAATCGAACAATATACACTCCGCGAAATTCGATTCAAGGCACTCATGTTTATGGTGCGAAATTCGATTAAATGCCGTCACTTTCTAGCCTTCGGAAAAGGAGATAGGGCGTTGTTGTGTATCTTTGAATGGGATAATAAAGAATACATATTTATTTAATATTATATACGTAAAAATAGATTAGTTGCACACAAAAATTTGGAATGTGAAAGGAAAAAACATGATAACTCGAGGACGTAACTAAGATCCTGGCTTACAAGGATACTGCATTGAGCAACAGGCAAATATCAATTAAAATCGATCGGATCAAATATCGATTTAATATCGATCGGCATCAGAAATTGATAACATGTTAAAATTAAAAGAAAACTGCAACAAACAATGCTAAAAATCCAACATAAAATAATTGTCATACAGGCAAAAATCTGCGATCTTAGGGGCTGGGCTAGATATTTGGTTTAAGGTTACAAATATCAACGAAAGTATCGTCAAAGCCAGTATTAACGAAGGCGCGCCGCATAGCCATATTAAGTGTTGCAAAAGAACACATGTCCTGGACCCAGGTGTGGCAAAATGTGATATTTTCCGATGAGATAAAATTTAATTTCGATGGTTTAAGCGGTTTAAATTATTACTGGCGCGTTTTAAAGAAATCTGAGAGAGCCTGATTTGTAAAATTGCAAAATTTCGTATCAACTTTGAGGGTTATATAAACCTGTTGGACGAAGTTTTGGTGAACTTTATGTATCATCAACCAGACCCAAATGCCTTATTTCAGCAGGATAATGCGCCAATACATGTGTTGCGGGCCTGTCGCTTCGTAATAAGGACTTTAAGCCTTTAGAGTGGGCAGCAAGATCACCCGGCCTGAATCCCATAGAGAACATATGGGGACAACTGTTCGTCGAGTCGAGGAATGATCCAAAATCCCGCTATCTGAGTTCTAAAGAGTTGCTGAATCGATGTCAAATCGATTTTTTTTAGTTATAAACAAATTTCGATGCTGGACACATTATTAATTTGTTGTATTTATGTCATTTCTACATATTAAATTAATGTCAATCGAATTTCACATCTTAAACTCGATTAAAAAAAAAATTACTAAAAAAAAAATTATGTTAATGTAACGAATTTAATTATTTTTAAAAGCAGCCAACTTAATGGCTTAAAATTGTATTTTTCAATTTTATAATGAAAAAATCATGTGTCTTTAATCGAATTTCGCAAAGTGTATATGGCGGAATAACTTTAGAAACTGAATTAGTCAAGATTGGTTTATTTTATCAAGCCCTATCAATTTTTTTTATTTTGGTTTTATCACTGGATTCGATTAGCGTTCGTTCTCGTGCACAATGTTCGCCATATCATAGCTTATCATATCATCCTCTGCAATTAATTGGCTTTGATTTATATATTCAAATAGACATACTATATATGTCTATATATGTACATATGAATGTGTGTATGTTTGTATATTTGTATGATGCACTTTGGTTTGAGCAGGTGACTAATTCGTAATACTGTTTGCAGTGCGCACCCACGACTACGATTATCCCGAATCGGAAATGGATGAGCGCGAGAGTCTTTACTTTGATACCATCTCGCTGGCCGATTCTGAGGCGGCAGCGGTGGCGGCAGCGCATCGCAAATCGCTATCACAGTCACGCAACACCATTTACCATTCGGCAGTGGATCTGGACGGCGATGAGACGCGCAACAGTTTACGATTGGGGAGTGGTGGCGGCGGCGGCATGTCTGCCGAGCATATGAGACTGGCCTGGCAGCCGGGCTATCGCCAGTCAACGGCGCTGGAGCATTTGAATGGTGGCGGCGGAGATTATACGGATGCCGCCATTGCGGCTCAGATGCTCGCCCTGCACAATGGACGAACACATTTGCCCACCGGCATTGGCGTCGCTGGCATTGGCGCGGGTAGCGGCGGTGTTGGTGGCTACACCAGTTACGGCGGCTCTGGCGATGATGAGGTCTCTAGACGTCTATTAAGGCAAAGTAGCACAGTTTCGAATAAAGATAAGAAATTGCCAATTACATACTCCCAGTGGAAATTGAGGGTAAACAACCAAAAACACAACAACAACAAAGTATCAACTTATCTACCGAACAACAACGATAAACAAGAAGCACCCACGCATTTATTTCAAGCAATGCAATACGAATTTTCAATAAGCAAAACAAAAAATAATATCATTTCAAGCAACTTTATGGCACTTTTCGCACTTTTTCTTCTTCTTTCTGTATGCTGCAACCATCTCTGTCTTTCACACACTGCACACGCACAGTCTGTCTCCTTTGTTTTCATACGCACGAGATCATGCATTCCAAAACTCACTCACTTCAGTCTCTCTCTCTCTCTCTCTCTCTCTCTCTCTCCCTCTGTCTCTCTCTCTCTCTCTCTGTCTCATTTGTCTATTCGCCGGTTGCGCTCATGGAATCCGTTCGGCTTTAACTGCACCAACTCGGTGTGGTGTGCACTTGCCTAAAAACACATACAAACTGAATGACTGCATTTGGCTTTCAGGTTTTCTGAAGAACATAACACGCACACGCCTCTTTTATTTTTGTTGTTTACTTGTCGCCTACTTGTCTCACTGTATTCTTTCTCTTTTTCTCTCTTTTTTCAATAGTTTGCTTGCGGGAATGGGTAATGGCAATTTTTTTTAGCATACATATGTACATACATATAGCGTAGAATATAAATATGTACATATAACTAGTCTCCAGATACATATGTGTGTTCATACCAAGACGATTCTGAAATTCGAAAATTGCATTCCTCAATTTAATATATATATATATATATATATATATATTTACATATGTATATATCTATATATGCACCTTTATTGAGGATTACATATATCAGATTCTAAAGTTTTCAACAGTGCCTGTTTGAAAACTGCGTTTTGATCATGATTTATGAAATTGGAAGTCGGTTACACGATTTATCGTCGTAATTCATGTACAAATTATTAATTATACCCTCAAAAAGTGCATAACTTTACCAAAAAAAAAAGAACGAAGAAAAAAATCTGATTGATTTTCAATGCAGAAGTCACTTTGGTCAGGGCTTATACTCTAGATTAAGACTGCTTATAAAAATGGTGCACTTGTCTTTTCCGGACTTACGGTCAAAAATCATGCGAAATACATATGTTGAATTGCAAATGTGCCACAGTCTCGGGATGTCACGGATGTGGCACTGACACACACCTTACACCTGCTTAGCACACACGATCCTCGATATTTGTCCACGTTTTTTTTTGTTTTTTTTTGTTTTTTTTTTGGCTTATATGTACAGATATGTACACATACATGCATACATGCATGCATACATACATATGTACCGTTGTAAATAGACGATTTGAAGGAAATTCGACGTGAGCGTGTTTAACCAATGTTTGTTTCGAATACTCTTTGCCGCAGACGTATCGCCGCTTCAACGATGGCAAACGGAGCGTGGACTTTGTGCTGGCGTACAAGGGCGAGGACGTGGACAAGACAGCGAGGCGCACGAAGTTCGAGGATAATCTGAGGCGTGAGGGTCTCGAGCTGGAATACTATAAGGAGCAATGGGTGCACTTTATCAAGCTGCATGCGCCAGTCGAGGTGCTGCATCGGTATGCGGAAATATTAAAGATCAAGATGCCGCTAAAGGAGATACCTGGACAGAAGGACATAACTATTGATATGGAGCGTGATCTCAACACATGCTTCAGTCGCCTTTGTCGCACCCTCTTCAGCTCCGTGCAACCGGATACTGTTAAGTTTCCAATACGCCAGCCGCGTATTCACATGGAATTCGCGTGTAAATATCTGGAACTGTATGACAAGGAGCATCCCAATTATTTTGATGCCAGCACACGCTACTCGATCATCAATTTTATAATTGAGCGGCAGCATTTTGAGCGGGGCGAGGAGAAGTCCGAAAATCTGGGCTTCGAGAAGCTCGTCGAGGATGGCGTCTACCTGTGCGCCTATGCCCTGCACGAAGTGAGCTAACAAGCTAATCATTTAACTAATCGTCTGATGTATATATATATCATAGTAACTAACGTGTTGCCAATTGGCCAATGGGTTTTCAGAAAGACGAACGCGATAACCTGCTAATGGGCTGGGCCAACATTGGCAAATTTAAGAAGTAATTTATAGCTTCATAGTTTTTGTGCCCTGTTCTCAATCAGAGATCTTATTGATTCTTATTGTTTGACAGCCTGCAGCCGCTGGATCATGTCAAGGACTACTTTGGGCCCAAGGTGGCGTTGTACTTTGCCTGGCTGGGCTTCTATACGCAAATGCTAATACCTGTCAGCATATTGGGCATACTGTTCTTTCTTTACGGATTTGTCACGTGGAACTCGGATCCGATTAGCCAGGATATTTGCAATGGAAACGATACGATCATGTGTCCGCAGTGCGATAAGGGCTGCATGTTTTGGCGTCTCAGCGAGACGTGCACCTCGTCTAGGTTCAACTATTTGATAGACAATGAAATGACCTTGGTGTTTGCGTTTATAATGGCCATTTGGGCTGTTACCTATTTGGAGCTGTGGAAACGCTATTCGGCTGGACTTGTTCATCGTTGGGGCCTCACTGGTTTTAATCAGCATGTGGAGCATCCGCGACCACAATATCTGGCCAAGGTTGCCAGCTCCAAAAAGTTGAATGCCGAAACGGAGGACGCAAGGAGCAGCTTTGATCCGTATGTGCCATTCTGGAGCATCAAGTTTTTCCCGAACTTCACGAGCTATAGCATCATGGTGTTGTTTGTAAGTTGTCCTCCCCCCTCTATCTCTCATCCCTTGTTTCATAGTTTATTCATTCCATTTATAAACTGATCGCTTCACATTTAGATCTGCATATCAGTGATCGCCGTCTCGGCGATTATCATTTATCGCATGGCACAGCGGGCCTCACACAGCATATTGGGAAACGAGAACTCAATGACGTACAAAATTATGGTGTTGCCAATAACAGCGGGATTCCTCGATTTAATTGTTATCTCCATACTGGATCTGGTGTATAGCAGTCTGGCGGTTAAGCTAACTAATTACGAATATTGCCGCACCCAGACGGAATACGACGAGAGCCTGACCATTAAGAACTATGTGTTCCAGTTTGTCAACTATTATTCGTCACTATTCTATATTGCGTTTCTCAAGGGCAAATTCGTCGGTTATCCTTCCAAGTACAATCGCATATTAAGCTTCCGTCAGGAGGAGTGCAATCCGGGTGGCTGCCTCATGGAGCTCTGCGTGCAGCTAGTCATCATTATGGTTGGCAAGCAGGCGGTGAATGCAATTGTTGAGATGCTAATACCCTATCTGAGGCGTACAGCCAGAGAGTGTAATCAACGTCACGGCTGGTTCAAGCTGCACAGCGACGAGATTGTGGTGCCCTCGACCAATCAGTTCACCGAAGACTTTAATTTACAGTCCACCGATAATAATTCACTATACGCCGAATATCTGGAAATGGGTATATATGCCTGACTCAATAATTATTCAACATTCAAAACAAAAACATTCCCTCTCTTCTTCTGCACAGTGGTGCAATATGGTTTCATAACGTTATTTAGCTTGGCATTTCCACTGGCGCCGCTGCTGGGGCTGATTAATAATGTTATGGAAGTGCGTCTCGATGCCATCAAAATGCTACGCTTCTTTCGACGTCCCGTGGGAATGCGTGCCCGAAATATTGGCGTCTGGCAAGGCATTATGACTGTCGTTACGCACATTGCGGTTGCTTCAAGCGTGAGTGCTTGCTATTTAAAATCTAAATCCAAATCGAAATATGACTGTATATCTGTAGGCATATGAAATTAATATTTTGATTTGATTGCAGGCCATGATAATTGCATTTAGCACAAACTTTATACCGAAACTAGTGTACAAGCATACCCATGATGATCCAGAGCTGAATAATTATCTAAACTTTACGCTGGCCACCTTTTATACCAAGGATTATACGACACAAACGCTTCTAGATGTCAGCGCCCAGGAGAATATCACACAGTGTCATTACACCGAGTTCCGCAATGCTCCCTGGCTCGATCAACCCTATAAACGACCAATGATTTATTGGAAGATCTTGACGGGCCGACTAGCTTTCATAGTAATCTATCAAGTGAGCGTGCTGAGTATTCTATTTTTGTTTTACCTACCAGTCACATATTTGTTGTTTTTTTGTTGTAGAATATCATAGCCCTGGTGCAGGGCATTATACGTTGGGCTGTGCCCGATGTCTCTGCCCGTCTGCTCAAGCGCATCAAGCGCGAGAATTTCTTGCTGCGCGAGCACATCATCGAATTTGAGAAAAGGAAGGCACACGAACTGGCGCAGACACCGACACAGATGCCACCGACGATGAGTGCAGGATTCCCTAAAAAGGAACCGGACGAGTCACTGCGACAGCGTCTCAATGGCAACGATGCGGCAACCACTGCTGGCGACAATGCCACCACATATGTCTAAGACTATTACTAACTCGTGTTCTAATGTTCGCGTGTTCTTCAATTTCAACTCCTACTCAAATTCAAACCCCCATGTCCATGTTCTTTGCCAGTTGAAATCAAGTGCATTTTAGTTGTAAGACTCGATCGTTGAATTTGTTCAGGACAAGAGAATTATTTACATTTGAAATAATACATAGCTTACATATATACTTTTGTATATTAAGGGCATCATTTATTCGTTGTGCTCTCAATAGTTGTTATATGTGTGTTGTCGTCTTGTACTGTACTTAAGAATTGAAAACAATGTTTACTATTCTTTTTCCTATTTGTTTGCGAACTGCATGTCAAATGCTCAAAAGAACAACAACAACAAAATGCATTATTTTTGGCGGAGGAACAGCAACTGCTTCAAGAGCACGACGCCAGTCCTCCCCGAAATATAGATATATGTATATTTATATATATAGTATTTGTAAAAACTGCTGTTAGAAATCAAAAATGAATTTGCCAAATTGTAAAGTGTTCGTAAAAATTGCGACTGATGCAACAGACACTCGAAATTAGTTACAACAAAATAATGTTGATGTCCATGTGTGTGCGAGTGTGTGTGCCATATACTTACATGCATAAGTAAATGGAAAAGAAATGAATATATATATATACATATGTATGTCAGGGATGATATACACACACATGCATATGTGTGCATAGCATAGATCATTAGCAACACATTCGCACTTGACTGTTGTGCAAGTGCTTAACTGCTTTATATATATTATACACGTCCAAAGTGCACTGCAATTATCAAATCTAATCAAACGCGTTATTTTTGATCTAAGTAACGTAAAGAAAATCATTTGTACCTTGTCGATGCATATATGTATGTATACTTAGTACTACAGAAACCAAACCTAAATTCATTGCGTGTGCTTAGCATATGTAGATACATACATATATACAATGCATACTAACATGTAAAACTAATAAACAATCCAATGTACCTTACAATATACACAAAAATATACACACACCTGCCCACATCTATGTGTGGGCGTGTGGGTGAGTGTGTGTGTGTGTGCTATTACTCATACAACAAATGTATTGACCTTATGTGAGTTAATTCTCCTCGTTACAATCGGTTTGTATGTTTTGTATCTGTTCAATTTGCCCGGCACCAACCACTGCAGAAATGTTTTATACAACAACAAACAACAAACAAACAACAAAAACGAAATGTTATTAAAATTACGATACAAAATAGTATATTTTATTATTTTGATAATATATTTATATACAAAAGAGATGTGTTGCGATGTACAGAATGTTCTAATGTAAATTTACACATAGCATTGTTAACATTTTATAAAAGTAAACTAAATCCAATAAAAACAAAATACAAAAAATACAAAAAAAAAAAACAAACAAATTAAAAAAAATCGCGAAGATATAAATCAGAATTACTAAATTACAAAAATTGTTTGCATGCAATAAATCAATGCTAAACAAATTAATAACAAAAACTGAATATATAATGTTTTATAACGTAGATTCGATAGAATATGGTAAAGCAACAAACAGTAGAAAATATGGACTGTAAACTTGTTAAATAAGCTACGGACAAGATTGTCATTGAACTAATTGGAAAGTGTCCAGTGTACTACTTTTTTTTATAATGTTTATCAATGTCACTTTTGTGACTAATGGCTTTTGGCCAGCAGAAGCGGACGCTATGTATAAATGAATATATATATATATATATATATATATATATATATATATATATATATGTATGTATATATATGTGTGTGTGGATATATTGAATGCCGATGCTGGCAAATCAATTGAAACCAAATAACGTGAGGCGACACCCGCTGTGATGCTGCGATGCTGTGATGGATGTGTGGATGCAAACAATTGAGGCATATCAAGCCAGAGCCATCGACCGACACACAATACTTACTCAAACAAGATCAGCGAGCATAATGATACTAATCAAATCGCTTGTAACTAAATTGAAGTGCACATCTAACTCGACACTAGGGCACCCAGCTCACAGTACAGCTCAGCTCAGCGCAGCTCATCTCAGCTCAACAGTCAACCATCAATAGTCTTTAGTCAGTCGAGCATCATAGTCGGGCACTCACTGGGGCTTAGTTTTGAATCTGTTCGGTTGACGTTTCCATGGAATTTACACAGCTGCAAACAGCGCATTAAGCATAACAAAAAGAATATATAAAAGAATCAGCACAAAATACAAAACAAAAAGCAGCTCTTTCAACTTTGAACCGCATTTGCATCAATCCCATAGCTTACAGCAAACCAAATTGAAAAGTGTTCAAAATGTGCTCCAGTTCAGTAAGTAGATAAGATGTGGCAAGCTGAAAGGCCACATTGCCATGGCGTGCGTACTAATTATTTTCTAATTATATACACATATATAATCCTAATCCTCTGCTATCAATTTTCAATTGGTTTATTGACAGTGCAAAGTCATCAAGCAACTGAGCGCAACGGAACGTGAAAAGTTTTTCGATTCCTTCGATGTCGTTTTCTGTGATTGCGATGGTTTGTTTTCTATATATATGTTGAATATTATATATATACACAAGATATGTAGATGTGGCCCGATTAACAATTGAGAAAAGCTTCGTTTTTTTTTTTTAAATAATTAGCAATTGAAAATGTTCTTTAAACCATAACTCTAACTCCAATCTTGACCTATTTTACCAATGGCAACTCTCTATATATATAAATACATAGAGACATATATATGTAGCTGATATACTCAAGTTCTTGCAATCTGCGGCAGGTGTTGTGTGGTATACGATGCGTGACTTTATTCCCGGCTCAGCCAAGGCCATTGAGGAACTGCAGCATCGGGGCAAGCAGCTGACCTTTGTGACCAACAACAGCATCAGCTCCGTGGCGGATCACCTACACAAGTTCGCCAAACAGAGGCAATTGCAAATTGATAAGGTAAGATCGAGTAGCTAAAGGTCATCATCATCATGTTGATGATTATCGGAATTTAATTAATGTTTCTCTGAGCAGAAACAGATTGTTCATCCGGCGCAGACCATTTGTGACCATCTCAAGTCCATTGGCTTTGAGGGGCTGATCTATTGCCTGGCAATGCCCCCTTTTAAGCAGGTGCTCCGCGATGCAGGCTTTCAGCTCACCGAAGAGGTGAGTTAATTAATAGTACAAATACGTTTTGCTTGTGCTGCTCAAGCTGTTCAAGCTGCTCAATTGCTAATCGTAGCGGGAGGCATCGATCATTGCTAGTCTGGGTGAGCTGCGTGAAGCCATCTTTGGTGCGGAGAGCGTGCAGGCCGTTATCATTGATGTGGACTTCAATCTGACGGCAGCGAAGCTGATGCGCGCCCATGTCCAGCTGCAGAATCCCAACTGTTTGTTCCTGGCCGGCGCTGCCGATGCGCTGATACCCTTTGGCACTGGCGACATCATTGGTAGGAAATTTGCACAGCTTCGCCGCTGTTCAGATCAGTTTTTATCTGTAATTTGCTCCCTGCATAGGACCTGGCGCCTTCATTGACGTTGTCGCCCAATCAACTGGACGTCAGCCCACGGTACTGGGCAAGCCGGGTGAAGCACTGCGTCCGCTGTTGCAACAGCGCCACGCCCACGTGCCTGCCAACCGAGTCCTCTTCATTGGCGACAGCCTGGCCAGCGATATTGGTTTTGCACGCGCCAGCGGCTACCAGACGCTGCTCGTCCTGACCGGCGGCACCAGCAATACGGATGTCGCCAGCCTGCCACCAGACCACGCCCATTTGCCCGACTACATTGGTGATTGCTTGGGCGATCTGTGCGAGCAGTGAATGACGAAAGATTCCATTTGGAAGCAAAACGCCTCGAAATGCTCTTGATGAAGCTGATGCGTCTAAAAAATCTAGTAGGGATCGGCTGTATTATGTAACCTTGGTTTATAACAATATAATCAATCACTAACGAAACTTCGCTTGGTAGATAAATATTTATAAATATTTAGTTGTTCTTGAGAGAGAGAGAGAGAGAGAGAGAGGCAGTGATCCTTGCGCATTTAAAAGCCATAATTTGTTTGGCGTGGAATTTGTTAACGATTAAAATGGAGTCACGCAATAAAAATAATACTGTCCTCAGTAAAAACGGATATTTGATTCTGTTTGCAGAAGGGCACATTGATGGTCGACTGTCAAGATGTTCGGACACAGGAACAAATTTATATCTTCTAAATTCTTTTGCAAAAAAAAAGAAAGTATTTTATTGTTGACTTTTGGTTATTTTCTCAATATTCTACTATTGATTGTATTTAAAACTATTTAACAAAAAAATGATCACGACTCATTCATTCCCGAAAAGTGAATTCCAAAATCGTGACAGCCCAAAGAATGTGTCCAAAGCTTGGGTTTTGAAAATTGCACAAATATTTAAATGACTCAGTCTTGTTAATTTGTTTGTTAAATAGTCTTAAAAAGAACAATAGGAAACAACATAAAAGTAAATAACAAAAAACAGCTTTTTTGCAAAAGAAATGAGAGAATCTGAATTCTTTCCTGTGTCCAAACACTTTGTTGTTGGGTTATGCACCCTTATGGGGGGTCAGAGATGCGGATACAGAAACATTATTGAGCTGTATGTTTGCATGTATTTATGTATATATAGTACAAATAATATGTGTATATAAATTTATGGATATATGTATATACATAATTGTATATTATATGTTATATGTACATGTTGCGGTCGTCGTTAAAAATGCGCTTTGGTTGCGACATTGGCGAAGAGTTGAATAAAATCGGCCACGCTGTCGGCATAGTAGTTGGGCAGATGTTGAGGACAGGTCTCCGCGTGGAGCTGGTCGAGCGTGCAGCCGCCGGATAGAACGAGCAACGTCTGGAATCCGCATAGCTGACCAAAGTGCACATCCTGGGCGAGCATATCGCCAATCATTAGGACCCGCGATGGATCGCTGACATTGTGCTTCCGATTGAGCATATCGCCCAATACACGTCCCGGTTTGCCCATAACTGTTGCCTCCTTGCCGCTCGCTTCGACCAGAATGGAGGCGAAGTTGCCGGGCCCAATCAGTTTTATACCCTTGCCAATGGGCAACAGACGATCGGTGGCACCGATCAGGAACAAGCAATCGGGTTGACGTAAATAAAACTGGGCTCGCAGCAGTTTCGTCGCTGTCATATTAAAGTCCAAATCAATGACGACCGCCTTCACGGGCTGCTTGTCGAAAATGTGAAGCAGAAGATCCTCATAGGTGTCCTCAATGAAGTGATTGGGCTAAACACCGGCATTCAAGTCGAATTAATAGCTTATCACTTCTGTTACCAACTTACCCCATCGATCAGCTGATAGCCAGCGTTCCGCAGCACCGTCTTGAATTGCGGCGATGCCATTGTGTAGATGAGACCGTCGAACTTAATGCTCTGCAGATAGTAGACGAGCGTCTGGGCCGGATGCCAGATCTGATGTGGCTGCACTTGCAAATTGGCCTGGCCAAGACGCTTCACAGTCCCATTCACGGTGCGCACGCTGTTGTTGGTGACAAATGTGATCTGTTTGCCGGCACTTTCCAGTGCCTTATACGCCTGGCTGCCATTGGGCACATTGGTCTCCATGCTGTACACAACGCCATCGATGTCGCTATAAACATGATCAAACGAATCCAGAAAGCGACGTTGCTGCTCACTGCTTAACTCCAGGATATGCTGTGGCTATTAGAAGAAAAAAAAGAGCTCAAGTACCGCTGATTAGCTTAGTTTTCACCTGCTGGATTAGGCAAGAAGATACTAACGCGTCTGCTGGTGGCCATAGTTTATGCTGTTGCTCGAGGCTGTCGCTGAAACGTGCGCCCGCAATCTAATTCGATGAACTCGACTAACGCAAAATGAAAACAACATATACAATTAACACTTTTCAGCGGAAAGCGAAGACGCTGACGACACTTCTCACAATACACGTATGAAATCAAGAGAGAGCGTTGCAGTCGAGCGTAGCCGATTGCGAAATACTCTGATACCAACTGATAACAGATGCCACAGAACAGGTTGGGTGTAGCCCAGATATTCCGATCTTTGAAAGAGTCCCAGAATGATCTATCCTCCAAGTTGGCCTTTAAAATTTCGATCGATAGGTCGAAGGAGCAGTTTTCCAGTAATCTTCCTTATAAGTTTGGTAACTGTAGCTCGTAAATTGCGGGAGATAAAGGCTTTTGAGAATTTTGGGAGGAAACAAAATCTTAACGATCTCCTATCCTTTTTTTGGGCTTGATCCATAATCCTTCTTCTGAATTTTTGAAGGCTGTTCCGAGCAATATACCTTTCGAATTTGGTAACTCTAGCTGAAAAATTGTGTGAGATATATGGTCTTATCGATTTACACTAACAGGTGTATCGGTTTGGGGAGGCGGAGTGGGCGTGCCCAGTAATATATTTTCAATATTCAGTGATTCTAGCTTACAAATTGTGCTGCCTATCGTTGAAGGAGTTATCTTCCAGTTTGGTGACTTTATCTTTAAAATTGTGGGAGATATGCGGTTTTTATCGACTTACACTTTCCGAAATATCGGCTTATGGACGCAGGTGTAGAGCGTGGCCACACAAATTTTTAAATCAATTCTTAAGGGCGGCTACCAGTAATATACCTACCAGGCTGAGGTGGTGGGTTTGGTGACTGTAGCCTTCAAATTGTGGGAGATATGTGGCTTTATCGATTTGCGATTATCGATTTCCTAGCCTCCTAGTGGACGTAACACTCAAATTTTTACACTTTGTCTGACGCGGCCACACACTAATATGTGTTCCAAGGATCAGGTCTCAATCTCTGAGGGTGTCGAAAAAAGTTGCCTTCATACAGACGGACAGACAGCATGGCGGACATAGTATAGACCAATACACTATGATAGCTTCGGTATCAGTGTATAAAATATACGCTCATTTCTCATTGCTGCTACTGCTGCTTATACCCTGAACTGAATTGGCAATGGGTAGAGAGGGTATAATGGTTTTGTGCAAATGCATGTAACAGGCAGAAGGAGGCATCTCTGACAGCTGCGCATAAAGTATATATAAGATCGGGGTATACAGCAGATTCAGCTATATACGCAGATCGCAGAGACGATAAGAGCAAGAGACTTCGAATATACATATAGGAACATACATGTAGGTTCTCGTAACTGCCTCCGTTTCTCGAGTATCGATACATTTCGATTTGCGATAGCAATAAAAGCCACAAGCAGAGGCTTCTCGTTAACTCAAATAACGAATTTCATCAAGATCGGATAAGAAACGCCAATAGTATAGTCCAAACTTGATTCTCATTTCTTGATAATTGACGCGAGCGTAAATATGTTTTCTGAGAATACATGCACCGTTATCACCGTTATCTCCACATACCTGTACATATTTATGTATGTATGCATGTATACATATACAATGTATGTACAGTGTCTCACAGCTTATTTCGGCAGTGTCTAGCAAAAATTTTAAAGTGCTATAAAGTTTAAACAAAGAAACAAACGCAAAATGTATAAATGTCAATTTGTTTTATGTTATATCACGTTTGAAAAGGAAACTTCAGTTTTCATTAAAATATTATTGTATAAGCACGCGTATGTCGCGTGAATAAAAATATGCGCTGCCTTTTCTCTTTGCTGCCTGTGCCTGCCTTAAGATATGAGAGCAATTCCACGCAACATTCTTCAAGGGGGGTTGTCAATAAAACTAGATTATGTCGAACAACTGGGTTTAGAGTGTATCGTAGTCGAGCTCACTCGATTACAGCAATCTTACTTGACTTGTTGTTGTTGTATATTTGCCGACAGGCACCGCAAAATGAGCGTTCAGTTCAATAAGACCTCTTTACACTCCCTGGCAATGCTGCCGTGTATCTGATTTATTTAAAGCACTGGCTACTGCCAGTGACCAAACTGCCGTTTAAAACTGTTATAGCCGCGCCCACACATGCGCCCATAATCGCCAAAATCGATATTTCGGAAATTGTAAATCGATAGATCCGCATATCTCCCACAATTTTAAAGATGGAGTGACCAAACTTGGAGAGTAACTTGCTGGTACCCACCTTCAAGTCGGCATATAATTTTCTGACCCCGCCCACTCCCGCCCCCGAAAACGATAAAAGCCTTTATCTCCCTCAATTTAGGAGCTGTACTTACTAAACCTGGAAGAAAGGTGACTAGGAAACTCTTCCAAGAATTTTGATCGGCCACACAGAAGCCTATATCGACAGCAATTTGAAAGGCAAATTTGGACAGTATTTCTCGGCTACACTTACCCTGTTATGTGCCATCTCTTATCAGCTGGTGTTACTTATGGTCTGTCGCCCGACTGAAACGTTCTCTCTTGTTTTTTCTGCATTTTCGAACGTTTTTTGTTCATTGCTTTATTAAATATAATTAGTAAATATATACATGTGCACATGAATATATATAAGAAGCACGTAACGTAAGTATATACATACATTTAATCCAGATCATATTTAGCTATCAGATTGCTCTATTTGATCTGTATTTCTTTTCCATACACACAACCGTCTCTGGCTAGCACTGATTGCCATTCAAAATTATTCGCCGAGTTGTTGCCAGACATGTTCGTTTGGGTGTTTAAACACGAGCCAGATAGAAATGTAAGCGATATCTGCAAATATATATGGAAGTAGTCATAAACAGACATGTTTTGTAAATGATAACATAAATAAAGGTTAATTTAAGTAGGTATTTGTGCATGTCTAAGATTACTTGGTGAGCAAAATTCCCAGAGAATTTTGTGATTTGTTTTTATTGCTCACTATACAATGATAATCCGTCAATAAAATATATAATTCTATTGAGTTGAATAATTCTATTCGTAATTTGTAAATGCATTTGACGTCTTGTGTAACATTTTTCAAATATCTTCGACTCTGGAAATAATTAAATCATTTAAATAAATCATTATCCATATTAACAGTCTAACAAAATACGCATTGTTGCCATAGGTTTATATACAGAATAAACTGTTATTTATTCTTGGGTCTGTATATATTTTGTATTACAACTACAATATAACTTTATAAAAAAAAAATAAAATTGGTACAAACAAATGAAGGAAAACTGGGCTAATGCATTTCAGTATTCAGTGCTTGTGGCAACTAGGAGAAGAACACATAAAACAATGTGAATGCTTTTTTGTAATACTTAGCATACATAATAATATATAATAATGAAAAATAAATATCGAGCGCACAGTGTCTCACACCTTATTTCGACCAGTGTCTAGCAAAAAATGTAAAGTGCAAAATGTTTAAATGCCAATTTGTTTCATGTTAAGCCACGTTTGAAAAATAAACTTTAGTTTTTATTAAAATATTAATTAATTAATTAAAATTAGTCGAAATCTGAAAACATATCCAAAATTCATGTCACAGCTTATTTCGAACATTCTTAAAAAAAGTAACATATTTGCCGTATAAAAGCTTATATAAGGAAATTAAAATTTTTGCTCGACACTGGTCGAAATAAGGTGTAAGACACTGTATTTATGGTTAATTACATATATGTAGTACTAATAAAAAACGTGATGAGAAGGTTCGTTGGCTGAATATTTATATATGTAAATGCTTGTAAACTTGAAGTTTTTCAATTAAAATTAATAATATCCATTTTTGATAAAAGGTGAGGTTTTGCTTTTGGAATTGAATAATTAAATATATATATATATATAATATATATATATATATTGTTTTTTTTTTTGTGAGCATATGACCACAATAAGCTGATAAATAATAATACAGTTGCTTTTCGAAGCGAATTAATGAACGAATCGAGGACTTATTATAAGGAAGTGTGACATGAAGAGATTAAGTGCAGTCGTTGCTAATCCTTTTCCTGTTGCTGCAGCAGCGCCGAAATTTCCTGAAACTTGTGACGATAATCGACGCTGGTCTCGCTAATCACCGACAGGCTCGATGATGGATCCTGCATAAAAACCCAATAATTGTTTATTTATTCGATCAACTGACAGATGCTGCTGCTTTTGCTTTTGTTGCTGCTATTTTAGAACTTACCAGTATGTCGCGTGTGGCATCAATGTCATCAAGATGACCCAGCAGACTGGTCAGTGAAAAGTCATTGATATTGTCATCCAGCCAGCGTGAATTAGATGTGGAGTCGCGCAACAAATGATTCGGACTGACGTTGCCATTGAACAAACTATGCACTGTGCCAATAACAAATCGAAATTAATATTAGTTGCAAATAGATAGGTAAATAAATATAATACAGCATAACTAACAATTGCCGAATTCCTTTCACAATGATAGGTTCGTAATAGGAAGTGAAATGCTATTTAAGCCAATATACAAATATATATATATATATATATAGATTCTTGACCTTGGACTTTTAGCTACTAGGTGACCGTCTCTGGGTTGTCGGATTAAAGGTTGCAAGACTCGATGCCACAACACAAGTGTCGCTTGTGTGGGATTGATTGTAATTTGTAATATTTCTTATCATTGTTGGTGATTTCTTGTTTTGCAAAATATGATTTTACTTCAAGTCGCCCATTAAATTGAGATATCTTTGCTTCAAATGAAAGTATTTCATAAAAGTTGAGATGCGGCACTAGAAAGTAGGTTCTAAATGGCAAATGCTTTGTGAACAAGTCAGAATGCTCTAGTCGAGAGAGATCGAAAAATACTCTGAACTGAACCATTTAAATATGTAGTTGGCTTGCTAATTGTAGTCTGGCCAATCTGAAAATGCGCTTTGACTATCAAAACAACATCTTTAACAGTAGTTTAACAATAACAAGTCTGGATATAGTCTGGCAGACTATATCTTTATTGTTATCGGAAAACGATTCATATCGATATTTATGTATTATTATATATTAGATAAACTTGATGTTTGTGTGGGGTACGAAAGCTTATATACCAAATTTGAAGTCTCTACCCCTAATACAGACGGACATGGCTAAATCGATTTGGTTGTGGATGCTGATAAATATATATATATTATACATATTATGGTGTCGGAGAAGCTTCCTTTTAGCTGTTGCATACTTTTGCACATGTTCATGACAAACTTTTTACCCACTTTTAATGGCATCAGTGTATAAAAATGATTTATAAATTGTATATATATATCAAATGGAAGAGTAGCTTAAGTTGATTCCATTATTCTTATGTAAGAATATGTATCAAATCTTTCACATTTATCAATACTTTTTTCAAGACTTCAATTTTCGAGTCAAGCTAGTCTATCATGCATATGTCGGGAATATCTAATAGATTTGCTCAGCTTACTGGTGCTGTCATCTTGGACGCTATCTGGCAGTGCGTGGCATGTGGCTGGCAATGATGCGTGTTCCACAGCTGGGTCCGCCAAAGTTGGCATGTCTGAACTGGTCATTTCTAAACTTGGCATATCTAAGCTCGGCATATCTAAGCTCGGCATATTGGCATACTGGTTGCCACTGTCGCGGCTGCTGCTGCTGCTGTAGCATTGCTCGCTTTTAATTTGGAACGGGATGTTGCTGGCGGTGGTTATGATTCTGGAGGTATTTTTGGAAGATACAGATGCGACGATCGTAGTGCTGCTATTGCTATTGACGCGTTCGATGGGCTCGAAGAGGCCGTTTTGCATATTCAGCAGATCATAAGGCTGCGATCCAGAGTCGGGCTGTAGGAGCCGTTGCACCAGCACATGACGCGACATCTTTTGCCGCGTCAGCTGCAAAAGTGTAAAAGCAGAACACTTGACAATCTATTTCAATGATGAGATATTCAGATCAGCTACTCACCTTGGACAATTGCCGACCCGGATCAATAATATTGGCCATAGGGCGACGCACTGGAAGCATCGGCGTACGAAAGATGATCTCACTGCCATCCGGTGTGGTTGTGGCGACTGCTGCTGCTGCTGTTGCTGCTGCTGAGCCACTGCCAGCTGCTGCTGCTGCTGCTGACTGGGCCTTGGTGATTAGATCACGTTTGCGATCACAACTATGACCACAACTGCATTGACGCTTCCGCACACGCTCACTGAGATTGGAGATGAGCAGCAGATGCTTCAGCTTATTGCTTACCGTCGCCGTTGTGATGGCCTTGACGCGTTCCACGCTATCACAGTCGTTGACATTGTAGGGCAGCGCTGTTGATGCTGAGTTTGTTGCACTGCTGCTGCTGCTGGTGTTAGTGTTAGTGAGGATGCTGCCACTGCTGGCTGTGGTTACTGCGGTGCTGTTTGTTGTAATGCTCGTTGTTGTGGTGCTACTGCTATTGGTGACGGCAATCGATGAACGGTCGATGTTTGGCGTACTTAGCTCCACATCGCACCAATAATAATCGAGCTCCAGCTTGGCATCCTGTCCCAGCACCACATACAGATCACCGATCGTTATGTCTGCCGCACTCGATATTGTCCAGCCCTTGCGCATACGCTTGATCACATCATCGCTGAGCAGTGGTCGAAAATTGCGAGCGGCGGCAGCGGCGGCATTCGCTTTGGCATTCTTGCCACCGCCAGCGCCAGGGGCATCGCTACGTTTGGCACGTGTTGGCGTCGGCGCCGGCGCTGGTGCTGGCTGTGGTGGTGGTGCTGGTGCTGGTTGTGATGCTGGTGGTGCTGCTGCTGGTGCTGCAACTGCTGTTGATATTGATGCGAGGGCAATCGCTTGTGGAGCGGCAAGAGGAGCAGCTGAAATGGACCCCACCGCAGTTGAGTCGACGACGCCATTGATCGTTAGATTGAGCAGCTCGCTGAGCTCCTCATTCATTAGCTCGTCGCCGCTATTGCTCTCGAGCTTCATATGATTGCTGGTGCTGCCGTTGCTGGTGGTGCTGATGCTGCCCTCGATCATTAATTCGTTGAGGGACTTGTCGTGCACCGAACTGGTTAGCGGCTTTTGTTTTTTGGTATCGGGCGAACGTTTCTCAGAGCCGCTTTCGGTGCGCGCCCGCTTTGCGCTGGCAGCGGCAGCAGCTGCCGTACTTTCAAGCGTCTCGCTGCGCACCTTGAAGCCGAGACGCTCCTCATATGCCGTTAGGCATATGTTGACGCTGCTCAAATGCGCCGTGATACTGAGCAGCGGTCGATGGATCGCCACACCGGGTTTGGGCAGGAAGCACAGAGCTGGTTCGGCAACCGGCACTGAATCAATGGACGAAGAGTCCGGTATGCCATTCAGCAGCGGCGGCGGCGGTTGTTTTTCCGCCAAACGTGCATCACTGCTGCGCCATTTGTACTGAAACGATTGTATGAAGCTAATCAGCTTCTTGTGTAGCGGCACTGTGATCCGTATCCGTGGATTCTGCGCCAATGACTGCACTCGTCCGAATGCCTCCATATTAGCGGGACTCACAAGCACCTCTATTTTTGTGGGTAGCCGGATGTCCTCCAACGTATCTGTATAATAATAAATAATCAGTTATCTTTAGATTTGAATTACCACAGACTTAACACCCTTGCAGAGAAGAAATGCAACAAATGCAGCAGCAACGAGTTACAATCGCATTAATGATCTATATGTATTTAATTTGTCGCCTGTGCGGCTTAACATAAATAGTTGTTGGTACATATGCACACTCTCTAAAGTGTAGTTCAGCTGCAGCAGCCGGCGTTTAGCGCTCTTTGTGCAGCGCTCTCTTTCTCTCTCTCTCCCGCGCCCGCTAAGCCGCCGGCGTCTGCAGCTTATAATTCGTTTTTTGCTACTCTAGCTGATCGATCGTTAGTTAATCTCGTGAAAAGGTTTAGCAATTGGTTTCAAACCTCTAATAAACAAAGTGTTGTTGAAAAGCCTAAGCCAGGCTTCTAGTCTAAATATATTAAATAAAGTTTTTAAAGTGAAATAACTTCGTGTTATTAATTATTGAAAATAAAGATATCAAAAAGCTGATAGCACAAATAATTAGACAAGTTATGATCCAACAAGTTAACGACAAGATAAGGATATTGCTTCTACATAAGTGTGGGAAGATATCGGACACTCCTTCACATAATCCCTACATTAAGGCAGTAGAAAATCTGAGTTCGAAAACTGTAATTCCATAATTATGATCAAGTTGAAACTCATGAAAATTCACACTTCCGACATAAAAAATAGAAAACAAAAATAATTTTAACCTCTTTAGGGCCTATAGATTTTCATGTTTGTTTGTTTGTTAAGCAGAAAGTATCTCAAATCATTATATTATAGCGACTGAAAAAATTGGAATCGACATGCTAAAAAACAATCGTGTTTTCAAAGTTAGACGTGGGAGCATGTGTATAAAAACCACAATTTAAAAGATATTGAAATAATATTGAGCTTGCGTATAAATTTCACCAAGATCGGTTTAGAAGCACGTGAGAAAATCGTATTTTTTTTTATTTAATAATTACAAATACATCAAATCGGAGTAAGCACATTTTTCACATTTTGAAATCAAATAATTACAACGATTTGAAAGGTTTTTGCAAATCTCACTCGAAGCTATGTCGAATTAGAGCCGGGTATTCATAGGAAAGAAAAGTGAAGAGAACTTACCATCGAGCTGATTGAGACGACGCAGTGCCTTGCAGGAGGGCGTCTTGATCCGTATATTTTTGCCCTTGCAGCGTACAGTGATGTGGCCCTGGTAGATGAGATGCTTCAGTTTCATGAAATGCTTATCGGTAATAAACTGCAGCTTGCGTCGCATTTCACCATAGTTAATTAGCGTGTACAGCTCCTGGGCGGGTTTCCTCAGCTCTACGTGTGAACGTGTGTGATGAGTTTTGCCTTATTTCATATTTTTTGGGTTTACTTACCATCCGAGTAGCGAACGTATTTGGCAATTTTGTGATATGTTTGATAGTAATGTTGACGCACTTGGTCCTTGGACTTAAAGCTGTAGTCGCTGTTCATGTTGCGGCGCTTCAATTTGGAGTTGATGTAATTGGCCATCGTTTCGAAATCCTTGCCAAACTCGTTGAGTGCATCGAAAAAACAATTGCGCTCCACATTCGACCAGGTTGATTTGTTAGCGGCACGCATCTGTGACGGCGTCTTCTGGGCAGCCTTCTCATCCTTCTTGCTTGGCTCACGTTCTGCCGGCGGCGGCGTCATCGGACGCGTCTGGTCCAATTTCATTTTTTGTATGACACGCGCGCTTGCCCGCGTTCCCGGGCAATTCTGTGATGTCACTGAGCCGAGGAGCTCCTCCGGCGGCTCAGTTACGCCGCCGGCCGCCTGCTTGATCTGTAAAACTTTGCCATTCGGTGGTGCTGGTGCTGCTGGTGGAGCAGTGATTGCATTGACAACAACAGCAGCGTCGGCTGGTATCTTGACGTTCTTACACATGCTGCCGTTGTCTTCCATTTTGTGCCACCGGCAGTGACACTGGCTACCCGCCCCCAGGCACAGCTGTAAGGATGCAACAATTTAGATTCATAGATTCATTCGGCTAAATGGCAAAATTTGCACGACGCCAGGCAAAAAAATGGCGCTCGCCAATGGGATACGAAAGTTGTTTCCACTTGGCCGTTGTCGCTTGTTAGCGTTTTGCCATTGTGCTTGTTCTATGTTGGCCACAGGTGGTTTGCACTTACCCAAAATGTAGAAATGATTTAAATTGCGTATGTTTTGTTGTCGTTTTGGTTCTTATTTATCTCCATTGTTTTGCATTTCTATTCTGTTATGTTAAGTCGGGGTTATGCTAATTATATACTGTTAAAACCATAACATTGTCGTATTCTGTTGGTGATTTTGCGCCTACGTTGCTCACTTTGCGCATACGTTGCTCTGCATTGCGCTGAAGTCATTTTAAATGTCTAAATTTGAGTGAGATCTAACCGAAGTTAAAATCAATTTAAATTTTCGTTTATTGCTGACATCCAATTTAAATGCACTGCTAACGTAACTGAACAGCTATTTGTGCATAACAGCAAACGGTAACATTTAACAGCACTATTTGAGCAGTAGCATGTAAATCGTTTTCAAGCAAAAAATGTTGCTTCTTAGGAAACTAACAATGCCTTCATAATATTTTATTTGAATAATATTTTAGTAGCTTGCAAATAGTTAAATTTGTCCACACATTAAAATTGCAATGATTATAGTTGGGAAACAACAATCAGCTGATATGAAGAATAAGCCACATCACTTAGTCCACAAAACTGCTCACAATGGCACGATTCGCTCAACCAAATACAGCCCTGTACGGGCGCTTCACGGTGGTGGTGAGATTGGCATTTAAAAATAAAGACACTAAACCGCTTAGCAAAACTAATTTTATTCGACTTAAAAGATTAGAAAAAAAATAAACAAAAATATTTTGTGCTTATGTGCATCACAAATAAATACCGATGAATAGCAGTACTAACACTACGGCGACGAGTATCGCAATGAGCATTATCTTTTTCTGCAATAAAAAAGTGCATGGATAAGGAATATTTTCAATTTCAATGGAACTTCAAAAATAATATACTGCTCACCTTTCTAGCCCGCTTTTGAAGATCCTGGGCCTTATCCAGCTCAGTACCACCCTTTTCTGTAAAAAGCGTTGCCTGGTTTGCATGGAACTCCACTCGCTGTATCGTCTCGCTCTGCTCCATGACGAGTGTCTGAATGCGCATGAATAGCGCATGAACATCTTCAATTGATTTCTCCAACTTGCGCAGCTCGTTGAAGCGATCCATGAGATCTCGCAATGTCTGCCTCTCCTTTTCCGTCTCTTGAAGTATCTATGGAAATCAACCACTAATAAGATTACATCTGATTTTATGATTTGTTCCATTCACTCACATTGTCCACAAACAATTTTGTCGATTTGTTCTCAATGAGCAACTCAATCTCCTGTGCAGTCGCCTCCGCATTGACTATATTAATCGGAGAGATCAATTTGATAATTGGTATTATGGTTTACGTTTAGTTCTGATATATACAACTTACCGATTTTGGAATGAATGCGGAGGTTCTTCTTCACCTTCGTCTCATAGTTCTGCAGGAATAGCTCGTTCTTTTGCCACAGATTGATGTATGTCTGGTATAGGCCATAGAATAAGGTGCGCTTCATACGCGCCTCCAAGCTATAATCCGTCTCTGGCGGCAGATTCGCTTTGAAGTCCCTAAATCGGTTCATCAGCTGATTGCCCAGTCGCAGATTCTTGCTGTGCAGCTCATCCATTTCGTTCTCTGCACAAAATCCGTTATTTATAATCATATTAAATTAGTTAAAACTCGCCTGTTCGCTATGTATGTGTGTATACTGTACATACCGCTAAAAGTGCGCAGATGGATTGTCTGCGACATGCGGTCCATGGCCTCCAGATTGGCAGCGATTTGCGACAATTGATAACGAATCTCCGAATACTACAATTAAGTGTTGAAAAACGCATTACAAAGTGAAAAAATGTAAATGTTATGTAAAGTGCTTAATGTACTAAGTTGAAGGAAGCATCTCTAACCCCATAGGAATTTATAAATGTATATTCTTGATCAGGATCAACGGGTGAGTGGATCCAGCCGACTCCATTTGTCTGTCTAGTTGAAAAAGCCGATTTTAGAGACCATAATAGCTAGAGACATTATATATATTATATAAATCGATTACCAATAGTAATAATAACCACAATTTTAAAGATATATCTTTCACATTGGTTTTGTATATGCTTTGACATAATATTGAGCTTCTGTAAAAACTTCAACAAGATTGATACGTCTTTGCATATTTACCAACAACTTACAACTACATAACTTAAAGTATTAGCATACAAGAATGGTATATTTTGCTGTCAGTGTATTTCTATCCGATTAAATTAAAGGGACTACTCTGATTACTTATAGAGGTCCAATATACAAATAAAATCATACATATGTACATCAAAAGCGATATGAATTTGGTAAGAAAATGGATCGAATTCACTTATCATTAGTAATGCAAATTGTTTATTGAACTGTTCCATTTGAATTTGTCGCACACACGAATGGAATAGGATTTTTAAGCCACCCAATCATTGACTGATTAATAAAATTAATTAAAACAAATGGTTAAGAAAGTTTAACATTGATGAGTACAAATGGACTAGTGTATACTCTGGAGAGAGTGCAAATTATTTCATTCATGAATTGCTGATAGTAGTTTGTTCACTATGAATCTTCGTTCCTATCCGATCTTAAGAAATTTTACCAATTAATCAAAAACATGATCAATTGAAAGCCTATTTTTTTTATAATTGTTTTTTTTTTTATATTTTATTGCTATCGGAAATCGATCGATTTGTTTAGATATTCTCAAAATAAGAAAAATTATCGATATAATTAATTAAACGTGATCTGTATGTACGATAACTTTTATTCCAAATTTAAAGTATCGAGATTTTAGGCAGACAGGTCAAACAGACAGGTCAAACGGTCAGACATGCGGACAAGGCTAAGTGGATTTGGTTGTTGATGCTGCTCAAGAATATATATACTTTATAAGGTCGAAGATGCGTTCCTATAGTAATAATACTCTCTGCAAGTGTATTCACAAGTCGAAGTTATTTATCAGATTTTGCAGATTGATGATAAAAAGTTTACTCTTTGGGGCAGAAAGTGGGCGTGGCAACTCACTATTACTGTTTACCAAAAATTTGAGTATATGTATAAAATATGTCTGTATGTATTTACTTCATCCGAGGCTGCTGTAAGCCACAGGTTTTGCTTATCACGGGTTTGCCGCTGTCGTTAAATAATTCGCGGCTGCCGTCGCTGCCGACGCTGACGCTGACGCAGTCGTTGACGTTCACGTCAACTCCGCTGATTCATGTTACCGGTTAACGTATTGATAAACAATTTGGCTAGGCACACACACACACAAGCCAACTTTCAGGCTTTGTTTTTAATATTTCAAGCAACGTTTTTCTCCTATTTTGAAATCATACTTGATAAAATAAATAAGTGTAAAACTTTCTAGTTTCCAATTAGAGAACTTAATTTTTTAAACTCAAGACTTTGATGCTCAAATATTTTATGCGCAGTTATTAAGTTCTTGGTCTAAGAAACATCAAGACAAGAATCGTACCTTAAATCAAAATCTCAAAACAGTCTAATTGAGTTATTTCTGGCTCAGAAAACAAGAAAGAACGTTTATCTAAATTTAAATTTTCGTGCGCTCATTGAAATATTAATACAATTTGCTCTACGTTTTAAGCAAATTGAATTTATATATGTTCTATTTCACGACAGAGCTCTTATTGGAGGTGGTGATATTTTTGTGTGATATCTCGATCCCATAACTTTTGACCCATGGCCGTTATATGATATTTATCCACGCACACACACTTACCGGATTCAGAATAGCATCCACATTGGTGCCCTGTTGTGTCATTTTGCTGCGTTGATCCTTATTGTTGCTGTCACCGCTGCTGTTGTTGCTGTTATTGTTGTTGTTGCTGAGTGTTTCGGTGGTGGCGTTATAAACGCTGAGCAGCAACGAACCATTTGAGGAGGATGACGTTGAGTTGGTGCTCAGCGAGCGCTGCAAAACAGTTAACAAAAATTCATTATCGGTTAATAAAAGCTTGTTCGAATTGTTGTTTTTTTTTTTTTATATTGGCATCGCTGCTACAGCGACGCCTACACAACTTAAACTAAAAATAACTAGCGGCTTCAATTTGTTTTCGGTTAGTGATCTCTACTCTCTGCTCACTCATCCACTCCATCCACTGCACCGCTCGCACGATATCTCTGTTACTCTCACACCCACCTGCTAAATGGCCGCAAACTGGGTGTGTAATAATAATGAATAGAAGGTGGCCAACAGAATGAAAATACAACTAACTGCTGTTCGCAATGTAAGTTTTGGGGATAGCCCCGTATGGTCTGTCCAAGTTTTATCGCTCTTATCTCCGTGCAATCTAGGTGCTCACTGGTACTGATAAACGCCAACTCCCCACACCATACATTATTTAACACTCAGCTCGCACAGCCCACACTTCTTCAACTCCCCACGCCCAAAATGGCGAGTTAAAATGTGTTAATGCGGGTCGTGGAATGTCGCGCAGTGTTGAAAAAGTCATGCAAGAAATTTGAGCAATGCAAAAGACGCACAGTGGGGCTACGATTGAATTGAGGAGAGCGGAAATCACTTCAGTGGAAAATCAAGGAACATTTGCCGAAAATGTTGTCGGCTGTCGACATTCTTCTCTCATTTGCAAAAATTATTGGGCTTTAAGTAAACGTTTCGCCAGAAAGAAAGGAATTCATATCAGATTATAACGGCAATTGGATGACATTATAATTTATGAAGTATGCATAATATCAGTTTATTTAGTAAAATACTTAAATTTTGAATGTAAATCAACAATGATTTATTGATTTGATGGTGTTAATTTGATTAGGAGGGAGTTGTTTGCTTAACTAGCGGAGCGAAGCAGTGGACAGGGAGTTGAACTGAGTTGGTCTCTTATTCTAGAAAGTGAGAATCATTAATTTAAAAAGTATAAGTTTGGAGCTCTGTTTAATAAGCCAGTTTTCGAATTAGGATGCGCTTAAGAAGTTCAGCGGTGTGAGTTTTAACAGTGTTGAAGTGTTGAATTTCTGTTGAGTGTAATAGCTGGACTGGATTTATGTCTCTTTTTTTTTAAGGTTGAGTTATTTATAATAGCTATTTCTTAAAAACATTTTATTGGTAACAATCCCACCGCAAAACAGTACTTATGAAATTTGTTCTTTGGGTAATTTCTTACAGTGTTGTATATTTTTTTAAACTCTTTTATTTTTTAGCACACTTAATCATAATTTTTAGGATATATTTTGGAATTGATTTTATTGCATTTTGCCATACTGTAATCGCACACAATTGGTAACAAATGCCGTTACCACCTCCCACAACCCAATACTCAGACGCTTTTTTGTGTTAAAGCCTTATAATATAAAATAAAATAAAATTAAATGAAAACTCATTTTAACTAACCTGCAAAAGCTCTGGCAGCCTATCTCTGGCCATTGTGTTTGTGTCTGTGTATGTATGAGTTTGTGTGTGTGTTCAGATTGTTGTTCTTTAAGGTTAGCGCTAATTTTTACCGTTACATTAATGTATTTATATTTTGTTTTTTATTGTTTTTGGATCACTTGTTATGACATAAATAAATAAGCGACGAGTTTTTGTTGCTTTTTATAATCGATTGAGTGCACTTTTGGCTATTGTTGTTGCATTGCTTTCTCTCTTCTTCTTCCTTTTCTTCTTCTTGAGTTTTTTTGACACTTGCACGACGTCAGCAGCTGTGCTTAACTGTGCGTATGCTTTTTTTTCTGCCAGCAACGGAACAGTTACGCGCGAGAGAGTGGCGTTCCCGCATACGAGAGAGAGAGAGAGAGAGTGAGAGATAAAGAGCGATATGAAAGAAGATAAGTAACGGTGATATCGCCCTAATATTTCGCGTTGCCCTTGTGTTTGTGTAGGTTTGTTAGTCTCGTTGTTGTTGTTGTGGTGTGTGTTTGCGTGAGCTTTGCCTTATCACATTTAAAGCATTAGCATTTGTATTTATATATTTGTATTTGTATTTGAATGTGTATTTGCAGTGGCTTTTGGTGGCTGCACTTTGTCATTATTGTATCGACGTCCATTCGATTACTATGCGAACAAAAAAAAAATACATATATTGTAAAAAGAGAGCGGCAATAATTATTCGTTTCGTTTACTACAACAAGCTTTTTAATAATTATAATTTTTGTAATTTCTTTTATTTATAACTCAGATCTCTCCGCGCCGCACGTTGCCTTTGAACTGAAAGCGCCGGTCGCAAAATACATGCCATACAGCTCCTCCGCTTTAGAAGCTGCCAGCTGAGATTTCTTTCAATTTAAAGATTAGCACACACACACACACACACACACATACATGCACATGTACATACGTACATAATACAAACAGACACACACATTTATAGAGATTAAGTTATGTATTATGTGTAAGTTAGTTGTCTGTTTGTCTGTCTCTGTGCACTTTTTGGGGGGCTGTTCTAGAAATTGAACCGGTTGCGACGCTCTATGATATATGTGTTAATTGCCTCTGTTTATATTTTTACAAGTATAACTTTTAGCGATTCCAACAACGACGACTACGACGACGACGACGACGACGACGACGCTGATGACGATGCCGTTCAATTGAAGGTAGCGACGCCGACGTCGACGGCAGCGACGGCATCGGCAACGGCAACGGTTCCAAAAGTCACTTGCGCTAATTAGTAGAACTTTTTGCCTATTGCTTTTTCCCCAGTTGTTTTTGTTCTTGCGGTTGCAAAATGCTCATAAGCTTGTCGTCGACGCCGACGCTGATGTCGGCAGCAACGGCGCGTCGTTGCAAATTTATATTTCTCCTTCCCATTCTCATTCTCGTTCTCAAATTGCCAGCAAAAAGCACACGACTTGACTTGCTGTTCAATTCACATTTCAATGCATTCCAATTACGCCAATGGAACGGTGTGAGGAGCAAATTGATATCGAGTAATAAAGCATGCACAGCCACACATACAACAACATACATATGTAAATATGTACGTAAGTACATATAAATAGTATATATATATATATATATCAATGTACATTTGAAGTGCCTTACAAATGGAATTTATTGTTACTTAATAGATGTATCTCATAATAAAAGTGAAATAAATGCGTACATACATATCTGTGTATGGATATATATGAGGCATACATCGCTTGAACAGAATGTCCGAGCTCTTATATGCCTTAGAGTACCCAATTGCATGAATATGAGTGTGAGTGCGAGTGTGAGTGTGGGTGTGGATGTGGGTGTTGGTGCCTGTGTCCCCGTCTTTGAGTCGTACAATCGAAACTTTGATTTATCAGCGCAAAGACGAAATGACGCGCCGTTGAACTCCGCTGAATGTTGAATGCTTGAAAGAAAATCGGTTTAAATATGAGGCTAAACTCGGTATGCAAGATGTATATACAAGCATATACGTATGCATGTACTCTTATACACATAACTGCTACTCGCTTTATTTATAGAGGCGTGACTCAGGCGGCACAAGCAAAATATAACAAAAACAAAAAACCCTCGAAAAGCTGATTATGAACTGAAAGCACACTTTTTGAGAGAAAGAAAGAAATAAAGTGGAAAGAGAGAGAGAGAGAGTGAGAGAGAGAGAGAGAGTGAGAGAGAGAGAGAGAGGGAGAGAGAGAGAGAGAGAGCAAGACAAAGAGAGAGTAGGCTTAACTTGTAATATAGGCGATGCTTATCTTTATTCCAGCACCCTTCAAATTGTTTAAATTAAATACAATTGATTTGAATTGCAATAGTTGCAAAGATTCGCACCGTTTCTACTTAAGATGAAATCATCTCAAATTCAGTTTATACTATTATGATTTACTCGAATTAAGTATTCGCAATAATTATTTACTAGAACTGTGGATACTTAATTCGAGATATATTTAAGGACCGCTCAATTCTCTCTTGATGTGCGTTTCGAACTCATTTTTGAGTTCGCCGTTAGTAAAGTGATAAAAATGCCTTAAAGCGTAGACTAAAGCTACTAAAGTCGTATAGGGTCTACCAATAGACGTGTCCACAAATGGAGAGAACTTACTATCTAAATTGGAGTTCGATTAAATCAAACCTCTGAGCTAAGTAATCCTTAGGCGTAGTATGTTTTTTGTTCACCTACTCACATACATAAATTATTGTTTTAATACAGTTCAACTGATGCACTCCTTGATAGCGGCTGATTACAAATTCTCTATGTTCTGACTTCAGTTTGAGTATCGCTGGCAGTTTCCGCTTCGCCTACAGCATCGGCATCAGCATCAGCATCAGCATCAGCTTTTGGCATCAGTTTTATCACAAAAATGAGCTTCAACACTAGCTTCATCGGCTCTTCAACGCATGGCATCATTTCAAAAATATTTGTATACGCCGTGTGGACAGCCTTTGTTTTGTTTTTTTTTTTTTCTGTGTGTGTGTTGTTATTCAGGTTGTGCTTGTTGTTGTTGCTGTTGTTGTTGTTGTTCTCGGCTTCATGCTTTAGGGAAGCATTGTTTACAATTTATTTTGTCATGTGTCGAAAATTGCAAATTTATGAGTTTTTGATGAGTCTTTTTGTGCTCGTCGCTCGCATCGCTCGCAGATATTTGCTGGTGTTTGCTCTTATGTGGGTCAACACACATGCATGCATACGCACACACACGCACCGGGCACATCCTGGCCGTGTGTGCGGTGTTTTTGACTTTTGATTAAATTCGCACGCGCAAAACTATAAATGGCACACTGGCATAAATGGCAAGGAATAAAATAATAAAATAAAAATGTGTTTTTTCCTTCTTTTTTGCTTCTAGTGCCACCAAAAAATGCACACAAATTGCTTTTAAAGCCTTTAAGGCGTGTGTCTACGCTTGTGTGTGTGTGTGTGTGTGTGTGTGTGTGTGTGTGAGACAGTTGAATTGGTTTGGTTTTGCAGCCTTGCGTTCAATATGGAAGCGACATAAATTTGAACACGCGCCCAAAACTATGCATCATTTTTTATAGTAGAAGTACCTTGAAATTTCCATAAAAGTCACAGGCGACGCTTCGTCTGTGCTCGCTGCAAGGAATCTCCTTCCCTCCCTCTCTCCATCTCCCTCCCCCTGTCTGTCCCTGTCGCACTTGCTGTGTTTTTGCCAGGTCGTGCAGTGATGCATACACACATGCACACATGTGGCTATCATCAACGTCATAATGATGTGAATTATTCATTGCCTTATGCCTCAGTTGATGTTTTAATTAAACAGCAGTTTGTATAAGCCAGCAACAAAATAGGCGACAATAGCGCTTCTGAGTGTGTTGATAAAGCTGATGATGATGCTGACGGTGATGACGAGTGACGAGAGGGATGGTGTTATGCAGTTGAAGTGTTGAGGTGTTAGAGTGACCAGGCTCATGCATATCAAATTGATGGTAGTAGACAATTTAAGGACCAACCTCAACTTTCCCCTCCTCTTTGTATACCCTGCATTGAAAATTGGCGAAAAGGGTATTATTTAAGAAAACTTCACTTTGTCAAGAATCATCGAATTATCGAAACTGGATCAATTTCCAAAAACCAAATGTTTTCTAATCATGGCTCGAACTCTAAAGATGGAAACACCATAAGGAAGCCAATTTATTCAGACACTATAAATATAATATGTTTTGAGGAACATTCTGTTTAACAGACAAACAAACGTACAAATCTATAAGCCCTACTTGAGGTCATGAAAATCGCATGGATACTTAGTGTAAAGTCGGGGATATAACGAGTTATGAGCAGATATATGTATCTATGTGTATGAAGACTAAGAAAGCGGGAAAAGAGTGAGAGATAGATGGAGACAGAGCTAGAAAGAGAGACTAAGTTGGAGAGAGACAGAGAGAGATTAAAAGATAGGAAGTAAGAGGGCGAAACGGTTAGGGAGAGCCATGTAGCTAAGAAAATATGGAGGGATGGAGAGAGACATAGAGAGAGAGAGAGAGAGAGAGAGAATAAGACAAATATAATACAATTTTAATATCACAATAAATACACATTATTGAGACGACATTGAAATCTGCAACTATTGTTTTAAGACATTATAAGCGTATTGAAAGGCAAAATGGACACATTTATTTACTATTTCTTTTTTATTCAAAGTACAGAGTAATCTTGATCGCAATGATTGCCTCCGCGCTGCTCTGGCAAACGCAAATAACAATTTATATGGGACACATGTGTTGAAAGAATCCACTCGTAGATGAACTTAACGTGAAATCAGCGCCGCAGAAACAGATTATCAAGTTGCCGCATCCGTTTTGGGAGAGGGGTCGATAGTACACCGTTAAAGTGCAGTCGGATGCTATGTGGCACGGCTTAAAGCACGTTGGCGTTGCCAACCATCCGAAAGGCATAAAAAACAGAGGCAGCCGCAATGGCAACGCCAATTGCCAAGTTGCATTATTTATCGCATTCGCGTTATTTGGTTTGCGTAAATGTGGGTGGCCGGGCGGGGCGGGGCGGTACGGTACGGCGCTGAGTGGGATAGATGCAAAAAAAAAAAAAAAAAACAAAATGGTGCCACTGCCATAATGGCGGTCGTCGTCGTTGGCGTCCTTGTCGCTGGCACAGCGGATGCTTGGCATTTATTGCAAGCGACAATATTTCGCTGCCTGGCTGCACCAGCAATGTGAGCAGCCACATCCAGCGGCATCCTGCGTCCTGGTATGCGCATCCGTCTGCTTGGCGCTCATAGACGCGTCTCCCGCTTCCGCGGAATCGCGAGCGTGTCCTTGTTACAGCGATCGAGGTGGCTGGATGGATGGACTGCGAGTGGCTGCATTACTGCATCTCGCATCTCAGCTATTTGTTTATAATAAAGCGAAGCGAATTTTTTGCACAACCAATCGCAACAATGGCAATGGCTTTGGAACCGTTTATTTAGCGGATGTATGCTGCTGGTACGCATCAGCTCCTCAATTCATTTTGAAGGCACTGAGGCAGGCAGGCGGTCGGCATCGCAGAGCTGGCAGGCGACGGCAGACGACAACCTGCCTGCCTGCCCATATCTGCTGCTTATATATTTATGCAAAAAAAATAAATACACACACACACATACATAATAATAATTTGCATTATTTTGTTCGAGCGCCTGGCAATCAGTATGCAATGATGTTCTCCTTCTTCCCTTTGGCGTGTCCTGC